TACAAAATTCTAACAGGATTAAACAGGGTAAATACAGGAGGATGTTCCTGATGATGACAGAGTCCAGGAGCAGGGGTCATAGTTTAAGGATGCTGGACCTTTTAGGACTGAGATGGGGAGAAATGTCTTTACCCAGAGAGTGGTGACCCTGTGAAATTCTTGCTCACAGGAAGTGGTTGAGACTAAAACATTGAATGTCTTCAAGAAGGAGATGGCTTTAGTTCTTGCTGAAGTGATCAAAGTGTATGAGGGAAAAAGCGGGAACAGGGTACAGAGCTGGATGTCTCATATTGAATGGTACAGCCAGCTCAAAGGGCTGAATGGCCTAGTGCTGCTTCTGTTTTCTGTGTTCATGTTTCTATGTCTATTTCTGGGACCTCTCCACACTCACGACCTTTGTTCCCAAGTCTCACACAGGTCTCCCATTAATTTCCCTACTTTGATGAACTGTCCACTCTCGCTGCTCCTTTTCATCTCGATGCTGGCACTCCCGAGTTCCATTAGGGCACCCACTCCTCGTGTGAAGGATAAACGTTGACAAAATACCTTTACTCGTTTAATAACTTTGAAATATTTCTACAGCAATCTTGTGATGCATTAGGTAGTGTCCCTCTCTCCGAAACAAAGCTTTGAGTTCAAGTCCCACTTCAGGACTCGATAGCCACGGAAGGTACAACCATATATAGCCAAAGTGGTAGGCATTCAGAGTAGGAGAGTTCACTGGTCAGCTATAGACTATTTAGAATCATAGAATCCCTACAGTGTGGAAGCAGGCCATTCGAACCATCAAGTCCACAACAACCCCCTGAATAGCACTCTAATAAGACTTACTCCATCCCTGTAACTGTACATTCCCCACACCTAATTCACCTAGCCTGCATATCTTTGGACTGTGGGAGGAAACCATAGCTCCAGGATGGAGACACAAGGACAATGTGCAAACTCCAGACAGACAGTTACCTGAGGCTGGAATCGAACCCGTGCTCCTGGCGCTGTGAGCCACCTTGTTGCCCACTTGATGTAGAGTGCTAGCCCTCAAGGTACAGGTTAGTGACCTGTTCCAGGAAAGGCTCATTACGGAAACAATCGTAAACATGTCTTTTGTCTATCTCCTGTAACAGTGGATGCAGGAAATAAATAACATACATTCTGTGAATAACCAGAATTCAGTGTGACTGAAAATTTTAGCTGAAAACAGGAGACCAATTATACATCAAAACTCCAATGTATATTTCTTGCATCCCAAAATTATTTTTAGATCAGCAAAACTGATGAACAATAAAGACAAACTCAAGAAAAATAATAATTCCAATGAAGAAAAGGATTAAAAGGTAACATTAACAACGAGTGCCATCTGCTGGCTAGTAAGGCACATTACACCATTAAATTGTTTTGTTAACTTTCATAGACCAGAGAGGCAATGAGGACTTACATTTATATAGCACCTTAACCATAGCAAAACATTCCAATTGGGTCTGCTTATCAGAATCAGACATGAAGCTACATAAGGGGATTTAGCACAGAGGAGTGAATGCTTGTTCTGAGGGGTGTCTTAGAGTAGGAAAGTGAGATGGAGAGAGGTGGAGATTGAGGAAGATAATCGGAGTTTAGAGCATAAGTAACTGAAGAAAAGGCAGCCAATGCTAGGTCAATTAAACTTGAAGATCTTCAAGAGTCCTGATTTGGAGCAGGCAGAGTACTTGACAGATCAGGATGGACAAAACAGAGAAGGTGTTTGGAAATAAGAAAGTAATGAAAGAAAGAGCGTGACTGGACTGGTTCAGCCTCAGACAGACAAGGAGAGGACAGAATCAATGCCTAGGCAACAATGTTTGTGAGGCAACCAAAGATAATAAGTTCAATCTTCCCAAAGTCTGGTTGACAGAAGCAATGAAGGGTTAAGCATGACAATGAAGGAGTTCAGCGAGACAGTGATGTGGTAGATCAGGATGCCGTGAGCAGACATGTGGAACGAGGCAGAAACAGAACAGACATGTGGGGCTATGGACACATCTTCCTAGTAAAATTGGGAGTATTTGGAAAGAACATCAGACAATTGTGCATATAGACTTCAAAGGTACAAAGCTTTTCCAAGTCCTAGGGTTTTCCATCATTCAGATGAAGTTTAGAGTGAAAGCAAGAAGTGAGCAGCAAAAGAAAGGCAATATTGACAAGTTGTTCATATATCTGCACAATGTGCATTGAAATAAAACATACAATTATTCACATTAAATCATTTCAACCTGTTTAATGCACCTTCATCAGAACAGCCTTTTGCACATTGTTATTCACAAACATCACTAGGAATAACATATTTACTGAAACAACTTTCTCTCAAAACTCCTAGGATGTATTTCTGCCCCATGACTACACTCCCATCTCCCAGATCAATAATCTGCATTCCGCTATCCCCTCATATGCTGCACAAAATCTCCATAGATCTAAGTCAAAATCAACAAACATCGCTTGTTGTCTTCCCTCGTTATTCTCAATCTTTCTGCTCCTTTCATATGACCAACAACTCCTTGACACTCCTCCTTTATTGTGCTGTTTGTATCTGCTGCATCTTCTGCAGCAATTTTTCCTCTGTGTTGATAAACATCTTCAGTTGTGACCATTATTGCTTTTACTATTAATGCACTATTCTTTCTGTAAATAAAAGGCAGTAAATTTATACCGACATCTCTTGAAATGAAAAGAATGAAAAGCTTGTGGGTGATCAGCTCCTGCACCTGGCAAAGGTGAAAGTCAAGCACTTGGTCAATTTCCAATTGATACTCTGTTTACATCTTTGCTTCCTTTGTAGTTTCTAAAGTTCTTGCTGCACCTTCTAACTGCCTTTCTGAAATTAACACCTGACTACTCTCCTTCAGCCTTCCACTCATAATGTCTTTGCAAACATTAACTTGCACAACCACTTCTGCTGTGAATTATTTTTTCATTTCAACAAAACTTTCACAGTCACTTTAAGGTTTTTGCAAAGATTTGTAGCTCGGGTTATGGGTGAGAATGTTAACTTGCTCGCCGAGCTGGCTTGTTTTCATTCAGACGTTTCGTCACCTTGCTAGGTAACATCATCAGTGAGGCCTCCAATGAAGCGATGTTGTTCTACTCTGCTTGGAATTTATATTGTCCGCCTGTTATGGTGAGTATTGTCATTTCCGGTTTTGATCTGAATGGGTTTATAGATGGGGTCCAATTCTATATGTTTGTTGATTGAATTACGGGTTGAGAACCATGCCTCTCGGCATTCCTGTGCATGTCAATGTTTGGCTTGGGCTACTATAATTACCTTGTCCCAGTTAAATTGATGGCTTTCATTGTCTGAGTGTACCAATATCAAGGAGAGTTTGTTGTGTCGTTTTGCTATTAGCTGATGTTCGTGTATTCTGATGGCTAGTCTCCTTCCTGTCTGTCCGATGTAATGCTTGTGGCAGTCATTGCGTGGTATTTTGTAAACCACGTTGGTTCTGCATGTTGTGGGTATGGGGTCTTTAGTCCTTGTGAGTGATTGTCATAGAGTGGCTGTGGGCTTGTGTGTTACCGTGATTCCTAATGGTTGTAGGAGTCTTGTTGTCAGTTCTAATATGTTCTTGATGTAGGGCAGTGTGGCCAGTGTGTTAGGGTGTGCTGTGTCCTTTTGTTGTTGTCTATTTAGTAGGCACCTGCGGATGAAGTTGCATGGATATCTGTTCATAGTGAAGATTTTGTATAGGTGCTCTTCGTCTTTCCTGCATAGCTCTGGCATGTTGCAGTGAGTGGTCGCCTGTTTAAATAGTGTCCTAATACAGCTTTGTTTGTGGACATTGGGGTGATTGCTGTGGAGGTTGAGGCTTTGGACAGTGTGGGTTGCTTTCCTGTATACTGAGGTTTGGAACTCCCCATCGGTCATACATTCAACCCTGACATCCAGAAACAGAAGCTTACTACAACACACCAGAACTACGCAGGTAAGAGGAAGAGCACCTAAACAAAATCTTTGCTATAAACGGATATCCCCGCAACTTCATCCACAGGTACCTACTAAATAGACAACAATAAGACGACACAGTACACCCTAACACACTGGTCACATTGCCCTACATCAAGATCCTATCAGAACTGACAACAAGATTCCTAAGGCCACTCGGAATCATGGTGGCCCACAAGCCCACAGCCGCTCTACGACAAACATGCAAAAGGATTAAAGACCACATTCCCAAAACATGCAGAAACAACATAGTTTACAAAATACCATGCAACTGCCACGAACATTACACCAGACAGACAGGAAGGAAATTAGCCATCAGAATACACAAACATCAGGTAGCAGCAAAACGACACGACAAACTCTCCTTAATATCGGCACACTCAGACAATGAAGGCCGTCAGTTTAACTGAGACAACATAACTATAGTAGCCCATGCCAAACACAGACATGCACGGGAATTCCTACAGGCATGGTTCCCCAACCGTAATGCAATCAACAAACATATAGAATTGGACTCCATTTACAAACCCATACAAAACAAAACCGGAAATGACAGTACTCACCATAACAGACCGAACAGTATAAATTCCAAGTGGAGTGGAACAACATCACTTCATCAGAAGCCTCACTGATGATGTCACCTGGCATGGTGATGCAACATCTGAACGAAAACGAGCCAGCTCGGCGAGCAAGTCAACAACCTTTCACGCTTACTCCCAAGTATGACCCACAACATACCACTCAAGTGCAAAGATGCTGGCTTCAACATAAATACTGAATAAATTGCTTAACTATCCATTACCAGATCGGACTGGACTATAGCAAGCTTCACCAAGCCTCACTTGTTTAGAAGTGAGTGAAACAATAAATGAAATGCTCAGTCTTTTAAATGGGGGTTGCAGCATGAATTTGATGTTGAATTTGAACAAGAAATGGGTCCGGCACAGTACGTTATGCACCTCAGAGACCTTGAAAGTGTAGTTAAAGGTAAGGAATGGTACCTCAGCCACCTGAAGGAAATTCAAAATACCTTGTGTCAAATCCTCTCACTATAGCTCCCATTGATTTTGCACAACCTGCTGCAGAGAGACCAGCAACACCACCACCAATAATAAGGACCTACACCAAAGAGAAAATACAAGGATCAGTGCTCCACATCCTTATTTCAAAAATAACATTAAATATGTCACGACAAAAAAAGATTTGCTGTATTTAGGAGTTTTTGCTTCCAACTTAGACATTCTCAAAGATGAGCTGTAGCTAAAAGGAGTTGATTGTAGAGGGCACTGAAAATAGAGAAAAACTGGGAAAGAGAGAAAAGGGAAGAGGATAAGAAAGAGGGACAAAAACTGAGCTGAGGAAGTGGGAGAAAGAGAATAAAGTTTGAGATAAAAGGAGAGACAGGCAGAACCCTAACTTACTGCCAGCTCTCTATTTTCAGTGTTGTGTATTGCATGTCAGTACAGCAGTGATATCTTCAGGAAGGTAAAACTGGGGATGGATCCTCTCCGGGGCCTGAGGGCCTTGTGGGCAGCATCAGCAAAAAAGACCAGAGTGAACCTACGAGTGGGACATACCTTGGAATAGGGGTGTTCAGCCCCCTTCCTCGGCCACAACCAGCGCACACAGACAAAGCTACTGGGGCTGGACATTTGTCATAGAACTTGATTGTTAAATCCCAGCAGCAGTGAGATTTTTCTTTGTTCTTTCATGGGATTTGGGTATTGCTGACAACTTAACGCTCATCCCAAAGCAGTTTAAGAGTTAACCGCATTGTTGTAGGTCTGGAGTCACATGTACAGACCAGACCAGGTAATGGTGACATTACCTAAAGAGCATTAGTGAACCATATGAGTTCTTATGACATCTGGCAATGTTTTCATGGCTGCTATTAGGCCAGCTCTTTATTCCAGATTTTATTAAATTCATATTCCACCACTTATCAGACAGGACTTGGACCCACTGTCTGCAGAACGTTGGCCTGGGGGTCTGGATTACTAGCCTAGTGTTATTACCGCTGTGCCATTGCCCACACCCTCCCTACCTCCCATATTAATTCGCCAGTCATGGGAGGGTGGGCTGCCCAATGACACTCAGCCCATGTGTAAACCTGTAGCGTGGGCAGAGATGGGCAGGTTGGCAGCAGGGGTGGCACTCTGGTTTTTGTGTGCCTTCGCTGCCTTCATACCCACCAAAGGGTTAACGTTAAAATAAAGTTGAAGACACACAGATTGAGCTCAATTTCAGTTATTGTGAGGCAGGTCTTGTGTTACTCATGGACTATTTTACAGTAAACAGAACAGTTTCACACAAGACCATCTCTTTAAGTTTGCATGCAAGCAAACTATTTGGAATTTTCTTGAAAGAAAGCAAGTAGCATGTCGTTCTTCTTACTTTATCAGTTTGATATCAGAGTTAGTCACTGAGGTGAGTAAGCTGACAATGAAAGAACTTTAGTGAGGGAATCAGTGCCAAGCACCTGTACAATGATGCAACCCGAAACAGCTGCACTTTTATCTCTAAAGTTCTGCCAGTCTTACCTTTGCCGGGGGAACCTTGCCAGCAGCTGTGATTTGGCCTGTGAAGAAACGCCCAAAGTGATTTGCAGCCAACACTACAGCTTTATACCTGCCACAATCAGAAAGAGAGAGATAATAAATTAATTCTGAATTAGCTGTGAGGCACTAGAAACTGATCGTAGCTAGTTTTCGTGATGTATAGATATTGCATAATCATCCCAATGGGGAAGCCAAGGCTTGATCTACATTAAGCCTCAGATTGCACCTCAGTAAGTTAGGCAAGCTGTCAAAACCTGTTACATCTCCAGGAGCAGCTCACCCATGACAGGAGGACTCATCTCACTCCACATCCACCTCACTGCCATCGGAGAATCCCACGGGAGCAGGTTGGGCTCTATGTAGCAATTTCGGATAAAATCTATCCTAAAACACAAGTGAAACCCTCATTTATATATGCGTGGTTTAAGTGGCTGCTGGGGCACCTAGAAATTGCCCAGTTCCTGTTATCATCAAACATTTTTCAAACCTTGTTGGAAAAACAGACACCTGAATTTCTCGTTCAAATATTCTACATGTCACATAGAACAGCAAGTCACTTCAAATCACCAAATTTCTATTCCAGGAATTGTACAGCATGTAATAACAAGAGTGCTTTTTCACACAGGACACTACATTACCTGTCACTATTCACAAACCCTAACACTCAACAATGTTATTACACTCAACTATACTATTACAATTCAATACTGTGCAGCCATATTTCGAACAGACAAGCTCAATTTCAGAAGGGCTCAGCTAATCCTCCACAGTCTTATGTGTATCGAAGATCCACACAATTCTGTTATTCTATTTCTGACATTTTAACATATCACTTGGATTAGTGTTGGGTTTGCCTGACAATTGATGGTTGCTCAAATTATGGATTCACCTTTACCATTTTGTCCAGATGGGAGCTGAGGATCAGGATGAAATCAATATAATTTGAGAGTTGTTGAACAAAGGAATCCCCTAAAATCTAACTCATTTCACTTCATTCACTGGAAATCAGTCAGAAAGTTCTACTAGATGGAATTATAGAAATAAATCTGTGTTCTACTTTCAGGATCCTTTTATGTTTTTACATTAATCTAGAGCTTTCCCAGAACAAATTTCTTTGTAATTCCTTAGAAAAAGAAAGGAGCAAAAAAATATATTTTGTAGTATTTATTCTTGAGGTATAGATGTCTCTGGCATTTATGACCCAACCCTATTAGCTCGAATAATGGGTGTTTTTGTTTGGGTGGTGCGTTGTGCATGTTAAAGGCACTTGGATATTACTGTCGATAGTTTAATACAATTCAGTGTCTTCCCAGGCCACTTCAGAGGGCATTTAAAAGCCAAGCATGTTGGTGTAGGACTAGGAACAAACATTGATTAGGCTGGGCATAATGGCAACAGTGAACTAGTTGGGTTTCTAGATCTGATAGCCTTGCGAGTACTTTTTAAACTTTTCCTTTTTTTCAGAATTACTTCTGTGTACAAGCTGTTGGAGTGCCACAATGACACGTGAGTTCCCATTCCTTGGGCATAGGCGTTGGTCCACATGATGCTAAAGAATAACATTTCACCAGTTACTCTTCCTTTTCATGAGGAGAAATGAACAATGAGGAAAGGTACCACATCCTTGCTGTAGATCAGGGTGACAAAAAGAGTGAGAAGGTAAGTGAAGTTTATACCAATTTAGGTGGCACTTAGAAACATGAACAACCATTTCAAGAACTGTGCAGGATTTGACCTGATCTTCTTATTTCAGAAAAGGTAGCTAACCTATTCAACAATAAGTGTCAAGGGAGCATTGCAAAGATATTGGAAAATTAAGTACTGAAAATATTAGAAATATTAGAAACTGAACGTAGAACATTCATCTCAAAATTCTTATACTGTCACAAGTCATAAGCAATATTTTCAAAAGCAATTATGTTTCTTACCCTGCAATATTGGCCATTGAACTAAGAGCATCATACCCTTGGGCTATTGTAACTCGGGGAACTTGTTCCATTGCTAACACCGTAGCCTTACGCAGGGAGAGTTTATCGAGCAGCTCTTTGTTCTGAGCTGGATGGATGAAGCTGACCAGAGTTGCTGCATCTTTTAGAAGGTCAGCCTCATGAACGCCTAGTGCAGTGTTGAAGGTTGGAGCTCGAACCTTAAAGAAAGATTTTATTAAAATATAATGGGATTGCAACACTTTTCTTTCCATGAATGACTTACATATTTAACAACTATAAAAAGTCAGCCTTTAAAAACTTTGTTTCCTATCCTATTATCCAACAAAGAAACATTATTTTAAGAAATATCCCATGACCGGTTCAGTTTCTCCACATTTCCCAAAGATACTGAGCACATGGACCAAATGACTCTGATAGTGATAGAGGATTCCATCATCAGGGAATGAATAGACACTGTGCAACAATCGCCAGACAGGAATGTTCCCTCCCAGTCGGGGACATTCAGCCTCCGATCTTTGGGTAAGAGTCCTCCAAGGCAGCCTTCAAGATACACAACAATACAGCACTGCCAAGCAGAAACTGAAAGCCAAGTTCCATACCCTGAAGGCAGCCTCAAACATGATCTTGGGTTCATGTCATGCTATATGTAACTCCACCATATTGTTCTGCATTTGTAAAATCTTCTTTACTGCCTTGTTTTGACACCATCATCTTGATAACTATGATCCCTCTACCTTAATCAGTTTGTACGGTTTCGGAGTCTTTGTTACTTTGGTTAGACCCTCGGCATGCAACTCTTATACCTATCACTGCTATTCCAGCCATTTGGTTTGTCTCCAGCACCATTTTATTTTTAATTTTTTTGTAATTCCCTCTCTGCCTCGATTAATCAGATTATAGGTCATCCCTTCACTTGCCATTCAGCTGGTAACATTTTACTCACACCGTCTGACACTTTTGATCACCTGCAGAGACATGTTATTCGGCTTATTGACACTCTACTCACACCATTTGTACAATCTTTTGATTTCTCTGCCTATAAATTTTGTGCCTATGTGCCTCCCTTCACTTCACCTGACGAAGGAGCAGCACTCTGAAAGCTTGTGTTTTCAAATAAACCTGTTGGACTATAAGCTGGTGTCATGTGACTTCTGACCTTGTCCACCCCAGTCCAACACCGACACCTCCACATCAGGGGATCAGATATATGTTTCTGTGGCATGAAATGTGAATACAGGATGACTCCCTTTTGCCAGGGTCAAGGATGTCATACGGCAGCAACAGGACATCCTTCTAGGGGAGGGGGATCAACCAGAAGTCATGATTCATGTTGGTACCAATGACATAGGTAGGAAGAGGGATAAGGTCTTGAAGGAAGATTTCAGGGAGTTAAGAAAAGATCTCAAGAGCAGGAACTTCAGGATTACTCCCAATTCCACAAACCGGTAAGCACAAGAACAGGTGGATGGATCTATTAAACGTGTGGCTGGAGAATGGGTATTGAAGGGATGTCATCAGATTTCAGAGGCATTGTCACCAGTTCAGTGGAAGGTGAGATCTGTACAAATGGCATGGATTACAACTTAATAAGGCAGGGACTGATATCCTCAGAAGGGGGATTTGCTGTTGGTGTGGGTTTAAACTAGCTTTCAGAAGAATGGGAGCCTGAGGGGTGACCCAAATTGGAAAGGAATTAAGCTGGTAACAGGAAGACTAGATGACAAGAAACAAAGCAAAGCATCGAGTACGCCTTGAATGCAAAACAATGTCAAATTAAGCCAAGATAAGGAGACTCCACCTGGATGCACACAGCATTCACAACATGAGTATGATCTAACTGACATTACTGAGGTATGGCTTACTGGTGATCAGGATGGGAACTGAATATTTACGGATATTCGAAGGAAATGGAGGTGGAGTTGTGCCGATAGTAACGGATGGGATCAGCACATCATTAAGGGGAGATCTCAGAATGGAAGAAAATTGTGTAGAACAATGGAAGGAACTAAAAAACAGCAAAGCTAGCAGTCATTGTTTGGAGATAGCAGGAACTGCAGATGCTGGAGAATCTGAGATAACAAGGTGTAGAGCTGGATAAACACAGCAGGCCAAGCAGCATCAGAGGAGCAGGAAGGCTGACGTTTCAGGCCTAGACGCTTCTTTATAGGCAACCAAATAGTAATGGTACTGAGGGGCATGGTATAAATCAGGAAATGAGAGAAATTTGTTATCATAGGTGACATCAAACTCCATACAGACTGGGGGAAACCAATTCAGTACTGAAACTGTGGATGACAGGTTTCCAGAATGTTTTAGGGACGGCTTACTGAAGTAGCAGATTAAACAGCCAACTCGAGGACAGGCTATATTGGAGCTCGTCTTAAGTAATGAGAAAGGGCTAAATTAATAATATTTCTGCAAAATAACCTTTAGGAATGGGCAACCATAATGTGGTAGCATTTTATATTGTGTTTGAAGGTGAGATGGCTGATTGGCTAACTAATAGAAGATAGAGGGTTGGGATAAGGAGGATATTTTTAGGCTGGCAAACTGTAACTGGTGGAGTGGCACAGGGATCAGTGGGGTCACAATTATTTACAATATATATTCATAACTTGGATGAGCAAAGAGGATGTACTGGTGGATGTCACAAAAATAGGTCAGAAAGCATGTGATAAGGACGACACAAACAGTCTGCAGAGGGATATAGACAGGTTGGGTCAGTGAGGTTATGCACTTTGGCAGGAAGAATAGAGGAATATTATTTAAGTGGAGAATGGCTGCAGAAAACTACAGCACAAAGGGATTTGGGATTCTTGTCCATGAATCACAAAAAGTTAGCATCCAAGCTTAGCAGGTAATAAGGAAGGCAAATTCAATATTTGCCTTTCTTTCAAAGAGAATTGAATATACAAGTAACAAAATTTTGCTAAAATTATACAAGGCACTAGTCAGACCACAGCTGGAATACTGTGGACAAGTTTGGGCCCCTAATCTAAGGAAATATATTCTGGGATTTGAGGCAGTCCAGAGAAGGAATTGTTTTATGAGATATTGAGTAGATTGGGCACGTACTCATTAAAATATAGAAGAATGAGAGGCAAATATATTAAAAAGAAATAAGATTATCTTAAATAGGGAGGCCCCAATGGCCTAGTGGTTTTATTGCTAATTTTTAACTGGGGACCCAGTTCAAATCCTGTCATGGAAGATGGTGGAATTTGAATTCAATACAAAAAAAATCTGGGATTAAGTTCTAATAATGACCACGAAACCATTGCTGATTGTTGGCAAAACATCCAACTGGTTCACTAATGTCCTTTAGGGAAGGAAACCTCCATCCTTACCTGGTCTGTCCTACATGTGACTCCAGACCCACGGCAATGTGGCTGACTCTTAACCGCCTTCTGGGCAGTTAGGGATGGGAAACAAATGCTGGCCTGGCCAGCGGCACCTACATGCCACGATTCTTCGGGCAGAAGGCATCATCTCAGAATAAGGGCTGCAAAGACAGAGATGAGGAGGAATTTCTTCTTGCAGAGGGCAGTGAGTTTGTGGATTTCTTTACCACAGAAGGCTGTTGAGGCTGGGTCATTTCGTAGATTCAAGGCTGGGATGGACAGATTTTTAATCTGTAAGGGAATCAAGGCTGTGGGGAAAGAGTTGAGGATTACCAGATCAGCTATAATCTCAGTGAATAGTAGAGTAGACTTAATGACCTAAATGGCCTACTTCTGCTTTGTCTTATGGTCCAACCTGAAACACAGGCATTAAATTTGCATAAGGGAAATTATGAAAGCATTTACAAAGGTACAAGATGGCTGAGTCGGATTGAGAAAATTCATTAAAAGGTGTGACTCTACATAGCTAATGGATAGTGTTTAGAGAAGTATTATATGTCTCACAGCAACTATACATTCTCTCGAAGTGGAAAAACTCCAAAAATCAGTAAACTATGGCTGATAAAGGAAGTCATGGATTCTACAAGATTAAAAATAAAGGTATATAAAGGGGCCAGAAATAGTAATAAATCTGAGGATTGAGGAGTTTTTAGAATGCAGCAATGGAAGACCAAGAAATGGAGAAGCAAAGGAAGAATAGAATACAAATGCGATCTAGCAATCACACAAAAATGGACTGTAAAAGCTTCTGCAGGTGCATAAAAAGGAAGTGTTTGGCGAAGATGAACGTGATTTCATTAAAAGTAGTGTCAAGAGAGTTTATAATGAGAACAGAGAGTGGCAGGAAAGTTAACTGATTACTTTATGTCTGTTTTCTGTGACAAATATACAAGAAATTTCATGGAATTGGAGACCCAAGTGATGAGGGAGCATGAGGAATTAAAAGAAATTAGTATCAGTAAGAAGGTTGAACAAGAGAAATTAATGGGGCTGAAAGTAGATAAATCCCTTGGACCTGATGGTGTACATCTCAACGTGCTGAAGGAGGTGACGATAGTGATAGGTGATCATCTTCCGAACTCCATAGATTCTGGAATGAATCTTGCAGATTGGAAGCTTGCAATGGAACTCCATTATTTAAGACAGGAACTAGAAAAAGGAAGATAACAGACCCATCAGCCTTGAATCAGTAGGAGGGGAAATGGTACAATCTATCATGAGGGGCATGACAACTGGACATGTATATAAAAGTTAGCAGATTCAGCATGGTCAGCATGGACTTGTGAATGGAAAATCATGTTTGACAAACCCTGTTGGAGTTTTTTTGAGGATGAGACTAACCAATTTGATAAAGCAGAGCTGATGGATGTAGTAATTTGGATTTTCAGGACACATTGTCAAGGTGCCCAACAAGAGGCTCGTTAGCAAAATTAAAGCAAATGGGATAGGTTATGGACTAGCTTTGATTGAGAATTAGCTAACAGACAGAAAACAGAGATTATGAATATATAGGTAATTCTCACATTAACACACTGTGGCTAGCGGGGTACCACAACAATCAGTGTTTGGGTCCCAGCTGTTCACAATATATATCGTGATTTGGATGTGGAAACCAAATGTAATGTTTCCAAATTTGCATATGATACAAAACAAAGTAGGAATGTGTATTGTAGGAAAGATGTAAAATGTTTGAACAGGATTTGAACAGACTTAGTGATTAAGCAAAAACATGGTAAATGGAATACAATGTGGAAAAATGAGAGGTTATCCACTTTGGTAGGAAGAACGGATGTGCTGAATATTTCTTAAACGTTGAGAGTTTACAAAGTATATATGTGCAAAGTGACTTAGGTGCCCTTATCAGTAAATCTCTGAAGGCTAATATGCAGATGTTGCAAACCATTAGCAAGGCAAATGGAACGCTAGTCTTAATTGTAATAGTGCAACAGTAGTGAAGCCTAGTGAAGTATAGAGCTTGGTCAGACCACACTTCGAATGCTGTGTGTAGTTTTGGTCTCTTCATCTCAGGAAAGCTTAGTCCTTGAATATATTTGACGTGGTGATTGATAAAATTTTTGATAATTAATGGCATAAAGTGTTACGGGGATAGCATGGGTAATAGATATTGACATATTAAATCAGTAATGATAATAATAAAACGTGGACAAGACACAATGAGCTGAATGGCCTACTCCTAATCCTACATTCCTATTTCATGCACAGGCCTAGACAGAGTTAGCGATCTGACATTGGGTTAGGTAGAAGGTGGTTGTACATGGAGACAGGGTGAAGGGAAAGAAGGCTTCACAAACATAAACAAGGGCCATCAAAGATAACACAGTGTGGAGCTGGAGGAGCACAGTAGGCCAGGCAGCATCACAGGAGCAGGAAAGTTGACGTTTCGGGTCGAGACCCTTCTTCAGAAACGTCAACTTTCCTGCTCCTCTGATGCTACCTGGCCTGCTGTGCTCTTCCAGCTCCACACTGTGTTATCTCTGACTCCAGCATCTGCAGTTCCGACTATCTCTGAACAAGGGCCACCATTTTGTTTTAAACATTATTCTATCTGTTCACTGACATAGGGCAGAGAAGTGAGCTACTCTTATGGAACAATCATTTTAGAGATGTGGATCAGTTGTCCAAATCAAATGATGCAGAATTGCCATTTCTTCCTTTTGGAAAACCACCTGGGTTTAATTCCATACCCCCTTTCTGTGGCAGAGAATTCCACAGGCTCACCGCTGTCTTGGTGAAGAAATATTTCTTCCCCTCAGTCCTAAATGATCTATCCTGTATCCTTAGACTGTGACCCCTGGTTCTGGACTCCCTGGTCATTGGGAACATCTTTTCTACATTTACCCTGCCTAGTCCAGTTAAAATTTTATAGCTCTCTATGAGGTCACCCCCTCATTCTTTTAAATTCCAGTGAATCCAGTCCTAACTGATCAAATCTCTCTTTATACATCAGTCCTGCCATCCTGGTAAATCATTGTTGCAGTCCAGCCATAGCCAGAACATCCTTCCTCAGAGAAACAGACCAAAGCAGCGCACCAAGGCCCTGTACAATTACAGCGTGCATCCCTACTCATGTACCCAAATCTTCTCATTATGAAGGTCAAAATACCATTTGCCTTCTTCACCGCCTGCTCCACCTGCCTGTTTACGTCAGTGACAGGCTTATAAGGACACAGAGGTCTTGTTATATCTCCTCCTTTCCCAATCAATAACCATTCAGATAATAATCTCACTTCTTGTTTTGCCACCAAAGAGGATAGCCTCACAGTTATCCATATTATTCTTCACCTGCTATGTATTTGTCCACTCACTCAACTTGTCCGAATCACATTCTCCTCACAGCTCACCCTTCCATCCAGCTCTGTCATTTATTTCCCTCATCTAAATTATTAATATTTAATGTGAACAGTTGGGCTCCAAGCAATGATTCCTGCTATATCCCACTAGTCACTAGCTGACACTCGGAAAAAGACCAGAATATTCCAACACTTCGTTTCTTGTTTGCATGTCAGTACACTAATTCCAAATCCATGAACTATAATTTTAAATCTCTAATGCAGGACCTTATCAAACACCTTCTGCAAATCCAATTAACTCACATTCACTCTCCCTTATCAACGTTATGAGTTACATTTTCAAAAATTCCAGTAAATTTGTCAAGCGTAATTTCCGTTTCATAAATCCATGCTGACTCTGTCCAATCTTGTCACTGTTTTCCAAGAACTCTGCCACTATATCTTTTCTAATGGACTCGAGCAATTTTCCTGCTACTGATGTCAGGCTAACCAGTCTGTAATTCCTTATAACAGCAACTGTTTCTTTGAGGTTCAGGGAAGTAACTTGCATTGAAGGAACTTTTCTCAAGGCAATTTTTAATGGATTACCATTTTTACTGAAGGTTAGAAAGCAATTAAGCAATTCTGAGCAAAATTAAATGAGTAGCTTGAACAACCCTGAGGTAAAATTCTTCAATGATTCAGTTTGCAGACCACGCAAACAAATTGGTTCTCCCAATCTAAAATGGACTTTTCCATTAAGAGACAGAAGTCTCTCACATTAAGCATACATTCGTAACTCCTTCAATCAGACAATGTACTGTATTGTCCAAAATGGATCTGGAGACACAATATTTGCTGCCAAAGAAAAATAAAACTGTAGCTTACTGACTTGAATGCATGGTACAAAAACAGAGAAAGGTATAATAGTTTAAAGATATAAGAACAAATCTTACCTTGACAACAAGGTCTGAACCCAGGGCCTCCTTCGTCCCCATAATTTTGGCACCAGCTCCTCTGTATTGGTCATCGGAGAATTTAGATGCTTCACCAGCACCAGATTCTACCACAACATTAAATCCTTGCTTCACCAGAGCCTGAACACCGTCTGGAATCAAAGCCACTCTCTTCTCATTCTGGAAGATCTCTTTTGGGACTCCTACAGCCAGCTGTTTATAGGGAATTCCTACCATCACAAATCAACATTCCACCTGTTAACTACTGCAATAAATTAAACCACACAGCAAATAAAGCAAGATTACATTATGCTCTTTTTAACCATTTTACATAATCATTCACACCACGTTTTCTCCCCAGATTCTACCTAACTAAGGCAACATTGGTCCAAGCTGATTGATATTGTTTCTCATAAAACAGTTCCACCATTTGAAAATTTTAAACAGCTTTAGTATAAAAGTCACCACTGCAGACAAAACTAAAATGAATTTTAAAGAAAACATGGCTCAAAAATCCCAAATAATAAAGGTTAGATATATTTGGACAATTAGACACAGATTCTCAGAACTGTTATGGAACAGAAAGGAGGTCTTTTTGGCTTCTCGAACCTGCACCAATTCTATTACCTAGTGCCAATCTCCTTCCTTTTTCCCAGACCCTTGCACACTATTTCTCTCCACATAATCATCCAATGCCCTCAAGTGTCTCAGTTGAACCTGCCTCCACCACATTTCCAGGCAGTATATTCCAGACCCTAACTATTTGTTGTGTGAAAAAGTTTTTTTTCTCACACCACCCTTGCATCGTTTGCACATCATTTTAAATCTACAACCTTATTTTTTTCCCATTCCAAGCATCTATCCGTCGCTCATGATTTTGAAAGCCTCTATCAAATCTCCTCTCAGCCTTCTTCTCTCCAAGTTTCAACATTCCAGGAACCATTCCTGTAAATTGCTTCCGCACTCTCTCCACCGCATTCACATCCTTCCTACAATGTGGACCCCACAACCGTACACAACACTCCAGCTGAGGTCTAACAAGTATCTTGCATATGTTCAACATCACTTCCTTGCTCTTGTACTGTAAGCCCCTAATAATATAGACAAGATCACTGCATTGCTTTATTAACTGCTCTCTCTACCTGTCCTGGTGCCTTCAATGATCTGTGCACATATACACCCAGGCTTCCCCGCCCTCCCTAACCCCGCACCCCTTTTAAAATTGTATCCCCTATTTTATATTGTATTTCAATGTTCTTCCAATCAAAGCACATCACCTCACACTTCACTGCATTGACCTCATCTGCCACCTATCTGCCCATAGCACTGACCTTTCAATGTCCTTTCGGAGTTCTGCACTGTCCTCCTCACAGACACAACTTTAATGAACTTCCTCAACTTTTAGTTACTAAAAGCTGGGGAGAAAATGGTGCTTTATACTAGGAAATAACCCTGTATTAAGGAAGCACATTGCTTTAAGAATTTTAATTGACCTGAGAAGTAGTACTTATCTTTTTTTTTATTCAGGTTAAAGTACCTATTATCAACCACACATTACAGCCACATTTTAAGAGAAATTCATAAACAGAATGTGGAAGTGATGGATCAAGGTTTTGTTTTGAGTATCAGCACCAACCAACCCAAACTTGCACTAAGTACTCTTGGTAATCATATCAAAAGGATCCATTCTTATCTGTTTACTGGAAAGTTCACTTATAGCTGGGGGAAAGGCAATTATGAGGCTTATAGCTGGGGGAAAGGCAATTATGAGGCGATGAGGCAAGATTTAGGATGCATAGGATGGAGAAGGAAACTGCAGGGGCTGGGCACAATTGAAATGTGGAGCTTGTTCAAGGAACAGCTACTGCGTGTCCTTGAGAAGTATGTACCTGTCAGGCAGGGAGGAAGTGGTCGAGCGAGGGAACCGTGGTTTACTAAAGAAGTTGAATCTCTTGTCAAGAGGAAGAAGGAGGCTTTGTAGAGATGAGGCGTGAAGGCTCAGTTAGGGCGCTTGAGAGTTACAAGTTAGCCCGGAAGGACCTAAAGAGAGAGCTAAGAAGAGCCAGGAGGGGACATGAGAAGTCTTTAGCAGGTAGGATCAAGGAAAACCCTAAAGCTTTCTATAGGTATGTCAGGAATAAAAGAATGACTAGAGTAAGATTGGGGCCGGTCAAGGACAGTAGTGGGAAGTTGTGCGTGGAGTCCGAAGAGATAGGAGAGGTGCTGAATGAATATTTTTCGTCAGTATTCACACAGGAAAAAGACAATGTAGTCGAGGAGAATACTGAGATACAGTCTATTAGACTAGACGGGATTGAGGTTCATAAGGAGGAGGTGTTAGCAATTCTGGAAGATGTGAAAATAGATAAGTCCCCTGGGCCGGATGGGATTTATCCTAGGGTTCTCTGGGAAGCTAGAGAGGAGATTGCAGAGCCTTTGGCTTTGATCTTTAAGTTGTCATTGTCTTCAGGAATAGTGCCAGAAGACTGGAGACTAGCAAATGTTGTCCCCTTGTTCAAGAAGGAGAGTAGAGACAACCCTGGTAATTATAGACCAGTGAGCCTTACTTCGGTTGTGGGTAAAGTGTTGAAAAGGATTATAAGAGATAGGATTTATAATCATCTAGAAAGGAATAATTTGATGAGGGATAGTCAACACGGTTTTGTGAAGGGTAGGTCGTGCCTCACAAACCTTATTGAGTTCTTCGAGAAGGTGACCAAACAGGTGGATGAGGGTAAAGCGGTTGATGTGGTGTATTTGGATTTCAGTAAAGCATTTGATAAGGTTCCCCATGGTAGGCTATTGCAGAAAATACGGAGGCATGGGATTGAGGGTGATTTAGCGGTTTGGATCAGAAATTGGCTAGCTGTAAGAAGACAGAGGGTGGTGGTTGATGGGAAATGTTCATCCTGGAGTTCAGTTACTAGTGGTGTACCTCAAGGATCTGTTTTGGGGCCACTGCTGTTTGTCATTTTTATAAATGACCTGGATGAGGGCGTAGAAGGATGGGTTAGTAAATTTGCGGATGACACCAAAGTTGGTGGAGTTGTGGATAGTGTGGAAGGATGTTGCAGGTTACAGAGGGACATAGATAAGCTGCAGAGCTGGGCTGAGAGGTGGCAAATGGAGTTTAATGCGGAAAAGTGTGAGGTGATTCACTTTGGAAGGAGTAACAGGAATACAGAGTACTGGGCTAATGGTAAGATTCTTGGTAGTGTGGATGAGCAGAAAGATCTCGGTGTCCATGTGCATAGATCACTGAAAGTTGCCACCCAGGTTGATAGCGTTGTTAAGAAGGCGTACAGTATGTTAGGTTTTATTGGTAGAGGGATTGAGTTTCGGAGCCATGAGGTCATGTTGCAGCTGTACAAAACTCTGGTGCGGCCGCACTTGGAGTATTGCGTACAGTTCTGGTCACCGCATTATAGGAAGGATGTGGAAGCATTGGAAAGGGTGCAGAGGAGATTTACCAGGATGTTGCCTGGTATGGAGGGAAGGTCTTATGAGGAAAGGCTGAGGGTCTTGAGGCTGTTTTCGTTAGAGAGAAGAAGGTTAAGAGGTGACTTGATAGAGACATACAAGATGATCAGAGGATTAGATAGGGTGGACAGTGGGAGCCTTTTTCCTCGGATGGTGATGGCTAGCACGAGGGGACATAGCTTTAAATTGAGGGGTGATAGATATAGGACAGATGTCAGAGGTAGGTTCTTTACTCAGAGAGTAGTAAGGGCGTGGAATGCCCTGCCTGCAAAAATAGTAGACTCGCCAACTTTAAGGGCATTTAAATGGTCATTGGATAAACATATGGATGATAATGGAATAGTTTAGGCTAGATGGGCTTCAGATTGGTTTCACAGGTCGGTGCAACATCGAGGGCCGAAGGGCCTGTACTGCGCTGTAATGTTCTATGTTCTATGTTCTATGTTCCACAGATAGGACCTAACTCTTTATGTCTTGGAACAAAATTTCTCAAAACGTAAACACACAAAATACATGTGCGATTGGAGTCACAGGGTGAAAATTAAGTGTTCTCACTGATGAAGGTATGTACTGGAAATGGAACAAGTTTTCAAAACTATCTAAGACATAGAAACTACCACAAAAACAGATTCCAATGATAGGGAGGTGTCGGTGTTGGACTAGGGTGGACAAGGTCAGAAGTCACATGACACTAGGTTATTGTCCAAGAGGTTTATTTGAAAACACAAGCTTTCAGGGCACTGCTCCTTCATCAAATGAAGTCAAATAGTTTCAGTGCACGTCTTATTGTCTTGGCAACAAGTTTAGCAAAAATAAATGTAAACTGATTTTAAAGCCCTTATGATTTAACTAGATTGACTAGATTAATTTTAACTCAGCATCCCTTCTGAAACAACAGAAGGCTTTAGAAGTCTTGATAATACTTCCACAACTTCAATCACTTGGCCTTAATGAAATAATTCAGCCTGTGTAAACAGCAGCAGCCATTGATTCAGCAAGAGAACTGGTCAACAAAGACTCTGGTCCAAACCATATCTCAACTCCCTCTGTTCTAGCAGTACTTAAAGGAAGACAGATACATGATTAATCAAAGTGAGCCACAGCACAGGACCAAACTGCTTTTATCATGTGCAAGGAAATGGATGCTGGCATTAACAGTGCTATCAAGCAGCACGTGTGTTCTGTTGTTCAGTTTAGGTTCTAACAGGGCCTCTTAGCTCCTGACCTTATTACAGGCTTGGTTCAAACATGAGCAAACGAGCTGAACTCCAGAGTTGACGTGAGAATGACAGCGCTTGACACGAAAGCCGCTTTTGACCGAGTGACCAAACCCTCTCAAACTGGAGTCAATGAGATGAGTGAGAAACTCTCTCCTGGTTGGAGTCTTATCGGACACACAGGAAGATGGTCGTGGTTGTTAGTCAGTCATCTCAGCTCCAGGACATCTCTGCAGGAGTTTGTCAGGGTAGTGTCCTAGGCCGAACCATCTTCAGCTGCTTCATCAATGACCTTCCCTCCATCATAAGGTCAGAAGTGGGGATGTTCGCTGATGATTGCAACTCCAATAACAGTCAAGAAGCTTAATACCATACATTACGAAGCTTGACTGGCATCCCATCCACTGCCTTCAACATTCACTCCCTCCAGTTTGACTGGAGTGGAAGCATATATGCTATCTACAAGATACACTGAAGCAATTCACCAAGGCTCCTTCAATAGCACTTTCCAAACACGCAACCTCTACCATCTGGAAGGACGACGGCAGTAGATCGATGGAAACACCACCACCTGCAAGTTCTGCTCCAAGTCTTGCACCGTCTTACCTTGGAAATATATCACTGTCTCTAGGTCAAAATTCTGGTGCTCCTTCCCTGACAGCACTGTAGATTTGATTACACCCCATGGACTACAGCAGTTCAAGAAGGCAGCTCTCCACCATTTTCTCTAAGGCAACTAGATATGGGCAATAAATGCTGGTCTAGTTAGTCAATGCCCACATTGAGAAAAACATATTAAAAATACAGACCTCCCTGATGTGCACAATTCCAAAGGCTGTAAATGTGTAAATGATTGATAGCAAATGGGTATATTTATCATTTGACTATCACTTATCTGGATATGGTGGTGTAGTGTTAATTTTCCAGGACAAGTAACTTAGACATTGAGACTTCATATTGGCGGCTGACCTGAGGTAGTTGGAATGGGAAGAGAGCCATGTGAAGTATGGACTGGAGAAACTGAATGTTTTAATTCATTCTAATTTACTTATCTGTCCCTCGCTCCCAGAAGCTGCTTGCAATATTTATAAATACAAGATAGATCTATAGATGACTTTCAAATTAATCCAAACTTTCAACCTGGATCTGTACATACTCAGTATTGAAAATGTGCTAGAAATAATTTGAACTCTGTACAAAGTTAATTATAGAACAGAGTCATCTTATTAAGAAATGGCCATACTTTAAAATACCTTTGTACACTTTTAGTGTCATAACTTTAATCATAAGGACTTGTCGACTCAGGAGACAAACAGCTGAATTGATGGCAACTTGGCTGGAAATTAGAAACAGTGTAGGGGCAAAGAGTAGTGAATAAAATTGGAGAAAGGCACAAAGTAGTGCTGCAACAGATTCAGAACTGGTAGCACCGTTATTCATAAATGGCATTATATCATTTCAATTCAAGAATAATACATTCACGAGATGATCTGACTCCAACAATCACAACCACCTTTCTTTGCAGTGGGTTAGACACCAGCCAGTGGAGATTTTCCCTTTGATTCTCACTGACTTCAGTGTTACTGGGGCTCCTTAATGCCACACGTGCCAAACTAGTCTCACCACTGGAGTTCAGCTCGTTTGTCCACGTTTGGACCCAGACTGTGATGATCATGAGAAGCCTGATGGGATAGTAATTGGCCAGTTTGGATTTGTCCTTGTTTTGTGAACAGGACATAACTGTGCAATGTTTCGCTGTTGATAGATGCCAGTGTTGTAACTGTGGGTTAGATTATGGGGCATGATTAGATCTGGAGCATGTCTTCAGTGCCGCTGCTGGAATGCCTTTATAGTAGCCAGTGACTTCCGCTGCTACTTGATATCACGTGGAGTGAAGTGAATTAGCATCTGTGACCTTGGGACCTTAGAAGGAGGTCATCTGCTTAGTATTTCTGTCTGGAGGTAACAGCTTCATGCTCGTTATTGAGTTATAGAGTCATACAGCCCAGAAACAGACCCTTCAGTCCAACTAGTCCATGCAAACATAATCCCAAAGTAAACTAGTCCCACCTGCCTGCTCCTGGTCCATATCCCTTCAAACCTTTCTTTTTTGTGTACTTATCCAAATAGCTTTTAAACATAATTGTACCCACTTCCATCACTTCCTCAGGAAGTTCATTCCACACGCAAACCACCCTCTGTTTAAAAAAATTGCCTCCTTGTCTTTTTTAAATCTCTCTCTTCTCATCTTGAAAGTGTGCCCCCTAGTCTTGAAATTCCCCACCCTCGTGAAAAGACAACTACCATTAACTCTATCCATACCTCTCATTATTTTATAAACTTCTATGAGGTCACCTCTCACCCTCATACCGTCCAGTGAAAAAAGTCCCAGCCTATCCAGCCTTTCTTTACAAAGTCAAGCCTTCCACACCCAGTAACATCCTGGTAAATCTCTTCAGAACACTCTCCAGCTTAATAATATCCTTCCTATAACTCTTTTGAATGGACTCCTGAACTCCCCCATCATCGAGGACGGGGCAATTTGTGCAGTCTCCTGCTCTATGTGGTTGTTGAACTGTACACAACCATTCATGATTGATTGTGGCAGGATTGCAGAGCTTAGATTTGATCAGTCAAATTGCTCTCTCTATTACATGCCACTTACACAAATACCAGACAGGTACAAACCAATGAAAACAGGAGACATTCCTTTGCTCAGAGACTGCGCAGAAAGTGAATTTTGCTATCACAGGAAGTGATTGAAGTGAATGCTTTCAAAAGAGAACTAGATGCACACATGAGAGGAAACAGAATAAAAAGACAGATTGACAGCTGAACTGAGGTAGGTGGAATGGGAGGAGAGCCGTGTGAGGTATGAACCAGTGCAGACTGGCTGGGTCTGTTTCTGAGCTGCGTGTTCTATGCAATTAGATAAAATTAGCTTCTGAAAGCCTTGTTACATTTCTTTATTGTTCTTTCCCAAAATAGATTATTGACTATACAGATATATCAGCCGTACAACATGCTGATGTTTATGCTTAAAAGATTAATAAAGATTATCAAAATATTTTTAAAATCTAATATGGCATCCCTTTAATGACAGTAATATATTTATATGAACACTTCAGCAAATAGCATATTCATTTAAATAATTAATATAAACAATTCTACATCAGGTGACATAGAACCTACAGCACCTAGAGGCCATTCAGCCCAGTGGGTCTATGATAGGATTTATGCTTCACACAAACCTCCTTTCACACCATTTCATTTAATCTATCAACGTAACTTTTGATTCCTTTGGTCTTTTGTGTGCTTATCCAGCTTTCTTCTTAACTATATTTACTCCATTCGCTGCAATTATTCCTTGCGATAGTGAATTCCACTTCCTGGGAAAAGTTTTTCTTGAACTCCTGGCTGGATTTATTAGTATGATGATACTCTGCCTTTAAGAGGTGTATTTTGTCCTTTCTTTTAATGAAGGGAGGTTGAGATAGAGGTGTCGATCAGTCTGCTCAAAGTCAATGAATGTCTTGGGTTTCTTTACATTTCAAGACACTTCCTAGAACCCTTCTGATTTGTTCGTGAAAAGAGACAATTTGTTGGTAATACCAGCCTTTACAGCCCATGCCTAATTGACCCAGAGAGGTGTTGGGAGCCACTTCATTGAACGGTTCAATCAACATCACAAAACAGATTTTCTGAAGATGTTCACATTGCTGTTTGTGTGCTTGGTGTGTGTGCAATGGTTGTTATGCTTCCTACATTACAACAGTGATTGCACTTCTAAAGTACTTCATTGGCTGTTATATGCTTTGAGGCATCCAGATTTTCTCTTTCGCAACTCATACTTTTGATGGTTTTGTTTTATTCGTTCACTCATGGGACGTGGGCGTCGCTGGCTGGCAAGCATTTAGTGCCCATCTCTAGTTGCCCTTAAGAAGGTGGTGGTGAGCTGCTTCCTTGAACTGCTGCAGTCCATGTGCTGTAGGTTAACCCAAAAAGTCCCTAGAGAGGGAATTCCAGGATTTTGACCCAATGACAGTGAAGAAATGGTGATATATTTGCAAGACAGGATGGTGAGTGGCTTGGAGGGGAACTTGCTGGAGGTGATCTTCCCATGTATCTGCTGCCCTTGCCCTTCTAAGTGATAGTAGTCATGTGTTTAGAAGATGCTGTTTAAGAATCTTCTGTGAATTTCTGCAGTGCATCTTGTAGATAGTACACACTGCCGCTACTGAGCGCTGGTAGTGGAGGGAGTGGATGCATGTGGATTTTCACTGAAATCATATTAATCATCACTCGAATACTTTCCTTATGCTAAGGCACATATTTTATTACTTCTATTATCTTGAATTGTTTCAGTTTTCAGGATGATTACTACTTAATATTATGAGGCAATAGGTAGCATCACAGCAGGTAAAGCAAGTTGGGATCAGAGGGCAAAAAAAAAACATGTCAACTCTGACAAGATATTGTCCCTATGTGGGTGACAGACTGCATCTTCAGGAAGTAATACCATGGTAGAACCACAACAGAATGGCATCCTTACACATCACTCCAAAGCATAACACGATACAAATGATTGCCTCTATAAGCTGTCTTTCTTGTACCTGGTTTCTGGCACCAGAAGACCTGGTGCATTCTGAACTGCCGTAAACATTGGGTCCTCACCACCTGCAATTTTACACATGCCACTATGCTGAGAACAGGAGTGGAGCAGCTGGTGACCACAGGGCGGAGAAGGCTTGCCATTCTGGGGGGAAGACCAATGCCACTGCCTGCTCTTCAATCCTCACCGTCCTCCTACAACGTATAGAAAAATCACAGCACAATGGTCATATTCCTCCAGCAGGTGCTCTGCTAATAACAAGCCATGTTAAATGCAATGACACAGATTAAAATCCTAAGAGGCTAAACTGGATAGTTGTTGGAAACAAGTGTAGTGGTAGTGTCCCTGCCTCACAGCCAGAAGGCCTAGTGTTCAAGTCCCACCTACTCCTACTCTAGACTCTTGAGCTACTGATGATGAGCCTGTGGCAAAGCAGTAATGTCCAGGAGCTAGGTTAATACTACTCAGTGACATAGGTTCAAACTGCACCATGGCAGAAAGTGGAATCTAGTTAATTAATCTGGAATTTAGAGCTAGTGTAAAATGCGATCTACTTTGTGAATTGCCCTTTAAGGAAAGGAAAGGAATTCTGTTGTCCTTACCTACCAGGGACTCCGCAGAAATGCGACTCTTTAAATGATCAAAATCAATTAATATATTTCTGAATGCCATTTCCACCAAAAGATGCAGCCAACGTTTAAACAGTGCCACACTGCCGCTGCCACACCATCACTCAACTACCAACAACTGCTCAAGATCAGACTCATATGTGCAATCATATGCCAGGCTGCTGGCCCCATACTCACGGTTTCAGCTTGTGCAGTTTCAGCTATTCAAGCAACAATCTCTCTTTTGCAGGACAAGGATGTAAGCAAAAGGAAACAGCAGGAGCTAATGGAAGGGGCTAGGCATGACTCTATGTCCTAATATCCATGGAGGAGATGGTATATCACACTTCCAGCTCATCTCTTCTGAATTATGAGTTGCAGATTGGTGTATGTGTACACCTCTTACTTTCGTCACCTTGTGCACCATGACCTTATGCTTTCTCCTCTTAGATACCCAAGAAATCCAACTTGTCCAGGCAAAGAAGGAACTACTTCAGTGGAGGAACCCAACCAGGTGAGAACATTGTTTGCTTCTTCGAGAGTAGATTGGAGGCGGGTTCTGTGAATAGTGCAACAATAGTACAGGCGGGGTGTAGCCAAAGTATGAGTAAGGGTGGCACTGGTACCAGGCTCTTGGAGTCACAGTCACTCCGCTGACCACTTTGATGAGGCACTGTATCAAAGATGACAACTGATGGGTATGTGCATGAAATGCTTGATGCATTTACAGAGCTAAGCATGCAAGAGCCCATCACCAAGTTGCCATATGCATTTCCCAGAGCTAGGAGCCCATCCTCTGCAGCATGGAAATGATGATTAATTCCGTTTGTATATTTCTGGAAACAACTATGATGGCCAACACCTCAGCTTCCAGTGCTACATGATTACCTGATGTCTGAGTGCTGCAGTGAAAGCTCAGACTAACTTCTTCATGGCTAGGCACTGCCACTATGACAGAACGACAGTGAGGAAAGCGGCTTGTGGCATGTCATTGCAGTATAGCAATCAGTCCTCCACCGACTGTACGGGTTGCTGACGCCCTACCCCAGGGAAATGAAGCAGGGACCAGATAGCCTTCTCAGGATGACAGAACTTATCCTCCCACTCCTGCCACTCAAACAGTTGCTCTTTTATGTCAACCAGCCCAGCCAAGGTGATAGATTCAGAAACCGCACTTGCTAGGGCAACAAACTTTTTGTTCAAAATTAATTCATCACTGGTCAGAGCAGCATTTATTGTCCGTCCCTAATTGGCCAGTTCAGAGTCAAGCACATTGCTGTGACTCTTCTGTTCCCTGAAGGACATTAGTGAGCCAGACAGGTTTTCCCAGACAATAGTCTCAAGGTTATCAATGATTCTCTTAATTCCTGAATCTTATTACATTCAAATTGCACCATCTGCCATGGAGGGATTTGAACTCAGGTGACTGGACATTAGCCTGGGTCTCTGGATTAACAGATCTAGTGATAAGACCACCAGGCCATCCCTCCTCATAATCCAGCACAGCCTCCAAGAGGAAAGATCCTTTGCTGTGATCCAGCTGTGTAACAGTGACACCAAGAGGATAAAGAAAGAGATTCTCCTTATTGATAATAAAAAGCAGAACCTCAAATTGGCACATGATAAACAACATTGAAGATATAAATACATAATAACTCGAAGATGGAGTGGCAGAAATGGGACTTGAGTAATTGGACACTAGTGCTGGTACTGCAAAAAGCAGGAGCTGTAACACTGCAATAGCATTCACCTGAACCATGCTGGGGCAAGTCACATAAATAGGGTGGTAGCGAGGACATCAAACATGACGGGAAGGGATCGTGTGAGATGAAATGCAGTAAATCAAAGGGAATTATAGAACATGTTAGCAATGTGGGTTTTCATAAACAGTATGTGGAAGGAAGGAATAGAGGTTCAAACTTAAGAATGCACCAACAGATGAGGCCAGAGATTGCAAAAATGGTTTAAAGAGTTAACAACTCTTTTTTTTTAATTTATTCACAGGATGTGGGTATCATCAGCTAGGCCATTTATTGCCCATCTCCACATCGCTGTGGGTCTGGAGTCATTTGAAGACCGGGTTACTGTACCAGGTGAGTTTTCCCCTGACAATGGTTTCATGCTCGTCATTACATTCTCAATTCCAAATTCTAAAGATTCGAATTCCGCCAAGGCAAGATTAAAACCTGGGCCGACAGAATATTACCTGGATCTACTGAATTAACAGTCGAGTGAGAACACCACTGGACCACTTGCATTAGGCCATGAATGAAAACAGCATTCCTAACAACTGGATACATTGCTATCACAGATAGTAATAAATATGTATGGCCTGACAGTCATTACAGGAGTATGATTTTAAGGTGACCAAAACTGGGACCTAAATATTGGATGGCCTTAATATGTTGAGAAGACAGGAAGTTAGGATAAGTTGACGTGCTAACTCTGTTAATTAATGATGACATTAATGCAGTAGTTGGAGATTACCATAGTTCAGAATAGCAAGATATAGAATCAGTTTGGGCAGAATTAAGACATGGGAAAGGTAAGAGGTCATTTGTGACAGTAGTTCACAGTACTCTGTTCCCAATTAACCCTAGTGGTACAGTTGACTAGAGTATTTAGGAAGGAATAAATGGCGGTGTGTAAGAAAGGGAAAGTTACCATAATAGTTATGGTAGTAACTTCCATGCAACTTGGGCAAATCAGATTGGCAAATGGTGGCCTGGAAAGTAAGACAGAACGTGTTTGGCACAATTGCATAAGGCAACATTGCTGTTTAGAAGGGGAGGTGATCTTATTGAAACGTATGGGATCCTGAGTGATCTCAATAGAGTGGATTCCAGGAGGATGTTGCCCCCTGTCGAAGGGACTAGAATCACGGGACGCAATTTAATTATAAGACAGACATAAGAATTATTTTTCTCTAGGAGGACTGTTAGTTTGTGAAATTCTATTCCTCAAAAAACAATGGAGGCTGAGTCACTGCATTTATTCCAGATTGAATTAGATAGGTTTTTGATAGACAAAGCAGTCAATGGTAATGGGGTAGAGACAGGAAAGTGGGAGTCAAGGTTACCAGCATGATCAGCCATGATCTTATTGAATGGTGAAGGAACCACAAAGTGCCAAATGACTGACCAAATAAACTGTTTCTAAGTCCTATAATTCCTACACCATCTGCAGTCTCTCCACTGAAAGTCAGTAGCCTTCTCTGGGCACACTAGGACAAGTACAGGATGAATAACACCTGTTTATATACAATACTGAATCATTTCATGGATAGATTTTGTCTGGAATGTTTATTTTCTGGTTCATTTTCCCATTATAAATGACAGTGGGCCACACTGGCGCCACCATCTTACAGTGGGAGAGAGGATCCCAAAACTGCTAATCATTTTATAACACTGCCAGTTCTGTTGGGTAGATTCACTGCCACCAATCCTTCTGCTGGTATTAGCTGGGCAACTGGTGCCATGTGGGGAAAGATGTCCATATGACAACTTAGGGAGAAGCTCCAATTTGATTCAACAGTAAAGGCTTACTTTGTTGCTGGCAATCCCTCCCTAACCAGTATGATTGCCCACCATGTCACTGGTCAATGGCTCTATAGGTCTTGTGTGGCTGATGAGCCTGATTCTAGAGCCACATCTCTGACCACACATTTGACAGGTGTTTCCGGGAGGCATAATTGGTCCCTGGCCTCGAGATCACTGGTATTCCTTTCTCCACTTCCTTTTCCATACTTGCTCAGTGTTCTTAAAGAATTATGTCTCTACTTCCAAGTCAAGTTTCTTCTGAGCAAGGGTCTCCCCTTTGCATTGACATCAATGGTGCATTTCTTTAGGTAAGCCTTCAGGGAATCTTTGAAACACTTCCTTGGTCCTCCTCTCATTCAAGTGCCTTCCTTGAGCTGGGCAGAAAGGATTTGCTTTGGCAATCTGAACTCAGGCATCCTGAACACATGGCCAGCCAAGCAGACCTATTTCCGGATGATCACAGCCTCGAAGCTGATGTATTCGCTGCTTCAAGCACATTGATGTTAGTATGCCTGTGCTCCCAGCTGATGCATGCAAACCATCTCAAACAGCACTGATGGTACTTCTCCAGGTACTGGGGAGTTGGAGCTGTTGTGGTCATTAAACTGGACTAGTAATCCAGAGGCCCCAGGCTTATGTGGGTTCAAATCACACCACATCAGTTGGGGGGGTGAGAACTGTTACAGAGATAGTAGGAACTGCCGATGCTGGAGAATCTGAGATAACAAGGTGTAGAGCTGGATGAACACAGCAGGCCAAGCAGCATCAGAGGAGCAAGAAAGCTGATGTTTCGGGTCTGGACCCTTCTTCAGAAATGCTACAGACTATCACAGGATCCTCTTGGGGGACTGGAATTCAGCTAAACCTGGAACTAAATGTTAGTCTCAGTAATGTCCAGGGCCAGACTAACATTGATTGATGTAAAGAAAAACCCAGCCGATTCACTAATGTACCTCAGGGAAGGCCATCTACCTCACAACAAAGAGGATGGTCTGTGGCAGAGGGCAGGTAAGGTTTGGGACAAGGGGAAATTCATTGCTGTTAATGGCATCCTACTCAGGTGAGGTCTTCTTAGAGAACCCGGCCAGAAAGATTGTATTCTCCCTTCCTCCTTGTGTAATTACGTCAGTGTCAGGAGCTCACCTCCAGGATTCAGGAGTTGGAACACTGCCCAGGTCCCGGAGCATGGTTGGGATCACCTAACCAATTTGCAGCGTGGCTTAAGGTGTGTCCCATGACTGATTCTTTTCTCTATTAGGTAGAAAACACAAAAAGGTGCGAGGGTAGCATATCGGGATTTTTAAAAACATATTTATTTGCAAACGGAATCTCGGGTCGTCGCGTTGTTATTTGCATTGATTCTTTTCCAAAACTGCAAATCGATATTGTTGAGTTTCAGCTTACGCAACGTTGCGTGTGTTTAGATCTTAACGACTGCAGCCTGGTAATTGCAAAGTATGAGATCGGAATCTTCCACCTCACTCCTTTTTCGTATTTGTGACTTTTGCAGTGCAGTTTTAATTATTTCTGCAGGCCAAAGGCACTGACTTTGTAAATTAAATGCAATATTTAAAGACCAATTCATTTTAAAACTAGAGGAAATCGAAAAGTTCGTACTGTGCTAAATCTGGAAGTAGGTTTTTATAATGAGACCAGCCCTTTCCTATTTGCTCTACAACAAATGATACGTGATAAGAGAAAGTCCAACAAATCATTAACCTTGACTTCTAACGCAAAACACTTCCGCGCTCCTGCCAACTTACACTGACCTTCGAAAGCCGGGTAGATAGCTCACGTTCTCAGATTGTCACTGAACTTTATTACGGGAAAAGAAACTATTCGCTGGAAGGTCAAATTGCCATGTGATCTCCAAGTGAAAGTATTTATCCCGCCTCATTTTAAAAATTAAGTTTCAACATTTAACCGATTTTAAAAAAAGAAAAATAACCATCGGAGATGTTTCTGCCAATAATCCCTTCTACAAATATATCAAAATTGTCTAAAATGCATATTTTACGGGAGATTAATGAACGTTTAGGTGGTGTTTACATTTCTTGCTGAACTGATAGATTTTGGAAAGATTAGATGGGGCAGAGAGAAAGCAGAAAAGGCTGCACACAACTGTACTTACTATAGCTAATGATATCTGCTACACTTTGCTGTGGATACAGATTCTTCCATGTGACATTGTAATTTGCTGCATTTTTTTGTTTATTTATTTTGTGGGATTTGGGTGTCACTGGCTGGCCAGCATTTATTGCCCATCCCTAGTTGCCCTTGAGAAGGTGGTGGTGAGCTGCCTTCTTTGCTGCAGTCCACCTGCAGTAGGTTGACCCACAATGCCATGAGGGAGGGAATTCCAGGATTTTGACCCAGTGACAGTGAAATAATTACGATATTCTTCAAAGTTAGGTTAGTACGTAGCTTGGAGGATAATTTGAAGGTAGTGGTGCTCCCGAGTATGTGCTGTCCTCGCCCTTCCAGGTGGAAGTGGTCATAGGTTTGGAAGGTGCTGTCTGAGGATCTTTGGTGAATGTCTGCAGTGCCTCTTGTCGTGGCTAGTACACGCTGCTACGACCGAGTGTCAGAGGAGGGAGTGAATGCAGTGTCAATCACGCAGGCTGCTTTGGCCTGTATTCTTAAGTGGGGAGTATTCCATCACACTCCTGACTTGTGCCTTGATTTATTTATGGTCACGTACCGAAATACAGTGAAAAGCTTTGTTTACAATCAGTACAGGCAGATCATAGTAAGCAAAGGATGTACAGCTCAAAAAAACTTGGAGGCATACAGGTTACATTACACGGGGCGTGTGCTAGGTGAGATCAATATTAGCAAGATCAGCATTATTTAAGGCTAGAGAGAGTCCATTCATCAGTCTGATAGGGCCAAGAAGAAGCTGTTGCTGAACCTGCTCGTGCGTGTGTTCAGGCTTCTGTATCTTTGTAGATGGTGGACAGGCTTTCAGGAGTCAGAAGGCGAGTTACTCACTGCAATTTGCCAATCCTGACAGCTTCTGAGGCCTACAGGTGCTCAATTAAATGCAGAACTTCAGAAGATGCTGTCAGTAATTCGTTGCTATTCTATAGGGCGTGTTAGAAGTCTCTCCAGGCAGCAGTAAGTACAAATCACAAATTAAATACTTGATGCAAAATCATATATTTGCCGCGGCTTATTGAATGAGTTAACTTAAGTTTTTAACAACATACTAAGTTAATAAATAATGAACAGCAATACTATCTGAAACCTTTTGTATTTGTGGAAACTCGTTTCTCCAACTCAAGTTCATTTTCATTTATTACTATTATCTTAATCCCTTGTTACATCATTAACGATTAGAGTGAAATAAATTATTAATAACAAGCAAAAAAAATTCACTGCATTTACTTTCTGGTTTGCCATCTGTGGGACTATTTCACTGTGCCCATTTATTTTGTTCAACAATATTACTGGTGCTGGATACCTGGCAATCTCCTGAATTTGATCAGATGCAAATTGACATTTGCAAGGGAAAACCCACCCCAGGCATCAATCATTTGTTTCAGAGATAGTAGGAACTGCAGATGCTGGAGAATCTGAGATAACAAGGTGCAAAGGTGGATGAACACAGCAGGCCAAGCAGCATCAGAGGAGCAGGAAGGCTGACGTTTCGGGCCTAGACCCTTCTTCAGAAAATTTTCTGAAGAAGGGTCTAGGCCCGAAACATTAGCCTTCCTGCTCGGCCTGCTGTGTTCATCCAGCTCTACACCTGGTTATCGCCAATCATTTGTAATTGTTTGAAGTCAAAGGTCACCACTGCTGACTGCAAAATCCAGACATTTAAACAACTAATAGTAAGTCAGTGTCCATTGATGCCAGTGTCAGCCAATAAGTTGGAAGTGGAATGTGACCTGTAAACATTCCTTTGTTGCAAACAATTAAGCTGATGGGAAGGTGCAATCCCCTTTCATCATACAGAGTCCGGTGTTAACTGACCTCCAAGCCAAGTCTCTGCTAACACCACTTGCCTCCATTAGCCTCTTGCCAAATGACATTAATAATCATGAGGAACATGACAACAATCAAGATACAAGGAAATACAAAGGAAACTAACCAAATTCTGGGATGATAATTACAACTGCCGTCTGAGATGGATTGCACCCACATATTATGCTCCTGCGAGTATTATTTCAGGGAAATGCACATGATGCTCAAGTGAGGGATGATAGTGTGGCTGGAAATGTTTATGACACAGCATTATTACATCTGGCCCATTAACCTCTTGCAAGATTGAGCATATTGTGCCTTTTGTAGAGTGGCTCTCCAGTTGTGGTTGAACAACAAAGTGCTTTTTGTGGGATTTCAAATCAACATGGCCCCAACTTACAAGTATAAATTGGAGGATGTGGGAGGTAGGGTTATCCCTACCACAAGGTATAAAGGATAGATATCTACAGACTTTTCTCCCTTGCCTTTAGACATTTCCTTTTGAATGCAGAGGTTACAAATTCCTTGGGTTCAAGGAAAGAAAAGTGGTGCCAGTACTACTGCCACTCACTGATGTGGAAAGAGTACTGAACAGGCTGAAATTGAGAGACTGCCAGCCAACACCTGACAACATGGAGAAAGTGACTATTTGTTTTTTTTTAAAAAAGCCTTTTGGTTTTTAAACTGTTAAATAGATTTAAAGATTTAACTCTAATAGCAATTAAACTACAACAGTCTAATATTTTCTTCAAGACTGAAGTTCATTTGGATGTAAAGAATATAGATATCCTCCCTTAAAAGGTGATCTTGGGGGAGAAAAGCCATTCATACATATAAAGGAAAAGGGTGAATTCAATAACACAATACTGCAATAAAAACTGATCGATATTGAAGGAAATGTATTTTATTGGGGGTGTTAATTCCTTCTGTTCAGTTGTGAGTCAAAGTACTTGATAAAAATGCTGAAAAATGAATTACAGAAAAAACTACAAATAGTTTTAAAGTATTTTCAAAATCATTTTCATGCAAGAAATTACCATTATGCAGAAATTGAAACAATAACTTTAATTCTTGACCTACAATTAACATTATTGACCATGTTGCCAGACAAAGTTTGTGATAGATGCTTGGAAATTAAGATTTTTAGAATGGAATCATTGCTTTCCCTTTCCCAATAAAAAAAATTGAAACTGCGCTTATTTGGCTACAGGTGTATATGGCAGGATTCCAAAAGTCTTAGAAATCCTCTTCAGCATGTTTACTTCTGGATTTCTTGTGCTGCAAAAGCCTCTGAATGGTTTCAAATATTGTGCGCTCCCCGTGCACCTTGTTGTCTCTTGTGCGCACATTTACAGTTCCACTGCTCTTCTCTTTTTCACCAACCACTGCAAATGTAATAACATACTTCAATACCTTGTATTTTACCTTGAATTAATTGCTACACAGATAAAATGATTCCAAACAATATTCTACATCAATGCAAATGATAATGCTTTGAAATGACTGACAGGCATGCCAATAAAACAGATGCACAGTATTACACACAAGCTGATGTACTAGAATGATTCTCTTGCTCTTCCTCCCATCATGATAGCGTTGAAAGATCTCCTGACATGACTCATGTCAGTGATAATTTGCACTCTGACGTGCGTGGTGGAATATTTCCCTACGAAAACTTTATTTGGTACTTTAATCACAGCTAAAGAAACATAAAACATCCCAGTTCATAACATTAATTGTTTTAGACACTTTAGCTACTGATTCATAGTATTGTTTTGTCCAATTAAGTGCTGAAAATATTCCATATTTTGGCACAAATGCTAAGTCTAATCCATAAAAGGCTGCTGTGACTGTGCAGAGACACGGGTTTGCAGGAAATACAGCTGCCAGGAACAAAAATGGCACTTCCATATCATCACACTACAGGTTGGTGCTGTTTGAGAATGACACCGAGGCAATCATCCAGGTTAGAGTGAACCCCAGGCCTGTGGATACTAAGAGGGACAGGTGCAACAATGACAGCAATGCAGCTACAACCTCTGGCATGCAACCAGTCAACTGGTGACTGCATTTTAGAGAGAAATAGTTCACGGCCTTGATTGTCTCGAAGCTGCCTTGTTCCTTTCCTAGCTACAGAGCATTGTTGACCTGATAAGTGCATATAATTCACCTGTCCTCGCTCAGAGAACTTTGAGAGACATCAAACCTTCTGGCTGCAGTAGGCCCAGAGCACAGACTCCTGGCTGTGGTATGCCTGAGGCATGGACACATGGCAGGGTTGTCGTTACTGTACCCGGAGCAGGAACTCTGAGGCCTGGGACAACTTGCAAACACTTTGCAGAAACCCTGGAGCTGTGTTTGAAGACCCCTTGTACAAGAGATGAACTCTATTTATGCAATTTCTTTTTATTCTTTTTGTAACTCAGAATGGCACCAGATTGTGGTAACAAAACACCTTTCACTCTATGTTTCCAGATATGTGTGACAATAAATAAATAAATCTAAAAAAACTGCAAAGAAATTTAAATAGACCCACTAATGATCAGAATGAGTATAACACTTTTTTTTAAACTCTTAGAATGGAGGCATCACCAGCAAGGTATTTAGTATATATCAAATGAAAACGGTGGATGCTAGAAATCAGAAACAAAAACAAATTGCTGGAAAAGCTCAGCAGGTCTGACAGCATAATTGGAGAGAAATCAGAGTTAATATTTTGGGTCCAGTGACCCTTCTTCAGAATGGGTTCTCTCAGAATTTATTATTTATCCCTATTAGGCCACTTCAGAAGGGAATTCAGAGTCAGCTGCAATGATATAGGACTGAAGTCACATATTAGCCAGCACCGCAAGGAAAACCAGTTTCCTTTCTTGAGTCATTAGCGAACCAGTTGAATTTTTAAGACAATCCATTTTACTGATAGCAGCTTTTCTCCTTCCAACTGGATTGTGGTTAGACATGAAGGCTATTGCAGTTGAAATCTATGAAATAAGTAATCCTATCTTAAACCTCTTGATCTATTCAGCATATCAGGCAGTGTCATTAACCACAAAGGCTATTGAGGAAAGGCAGTTATATTGAGTATTAGTGGGCCAATAAGCAAAAAAAGACCATAGCATAAATAATCAAACAGAATAAAATAGACATAGTCCAAAGTATAGAAGGATGTTACAGTTCTTTCAAACAACTTCACCAACTACATTGTGAAAAGATTTATAAAGCTTACCAAGGATAAAGTTATATTGAGCAAGTTGTGCATTTCGGATCTTCTTGTTCAGTGTACATCCTTGATCGAGGTCAACGTCAGACATTAACCCAGCATCATGAAATTGCTGTTGAACCTAATCATATCAAAGAAACAACATTACCGAAACTGCTTTTTTTCTGTCTAAAAGAACGAAGAACCTTGAGTGGCTGTGACTTTGTTCCCAACAAAATAACTTTAATATAATTCATTTCACATCAGAATGCACACCAAGGAATTACAAATGATAAGCTTTGTTTCTACATGAGAAAATCCAGAGTGAAAAAGTCATTCAGCCATAGAGTTCATCAATACTGCTCCCATTCATCATTCTATCACATTGAACCCCACCATCTCTGTTAATTACAGAAGACAGAACAGTACAGCACAGGAATAGGCCCTTCCACCCACCATGTCTGTGCTGACCATGATGCAATTCTAAATTGATCCCATCTGCCTGCACATGGTCTGGATCCCTCTATTCCCTCCTGTTCATCTGCCTGTCTAAATGTCTCTTAAACTTTGCTAACAGATCTGCTTCTACCACCTCTCCTGGTACCACGTTCCAAGCATCTACCGTCATCTATGTAAAAATACTTTCCTCACATATCTCCTCTAAACTTATCCCTCAAACCTATGCCCCCTAGTATTTGGCATTTCCATCCTGGGGGGAAAGAATAGTCCGAGTATCCACCCTATCCATGCTTCTTAAATTTTATATCCTTTTATCAGGTCATCCTTCAGCCTCTGACAATCTAGCAAAGTCAATCTAAGTTTGTCCAACCTCACCATATATCTATTACACTCCAAGCCAGGCAAAATCCTGGTAAACCTCTTTTGCACTAAATTATCTTCCCAAACTCCTCAGTAGAATTTTAAAAAAAATCAAAATCATGTTGGTGAAAGGCTCTAAACTTTCAATCCTCTTCTCATTTTCCTTTCAAATGTTAAACAAAATAGACTGAATAAACTGTACAAAATATAACGTCAGCTCAGTTTTCTAACAGAAAGATTTTCTACAGCAATACTTCAAAGAAGAAAAGTGTGGCAACACCGAGTGCAACACGAAGATCAGTGTACTGCCAGTAAATCAGACCGGAAGGCCCTAAATGCAAAGGCAGGATTATGTCAACTGTGAATGAACACAAAGAACATTTCAAGCACACATTCATTTTTATCATTTCAGATAGGGCAAACAAGAAAACAACTTTCAGACTGGTTATTTCCTGGTGCCTCAATAGCCATGTAAAACTTTGAAGCTATAGGAATAGGTTGGGGCATTTTTCCCTGGAGCGTCAGAGGCTGAGGGGTGACCTTATAGATATTTATAAAATCACAAGGGGCATGGATAGGGTAAATAGACAAGGGGAGTCCAAAACTGGAGGGCATAGGTTTAAGGTAAGAGGGGAACAACTTAAAAGAGACCCAAGAAGTAACTTTTTCACGCAGAGAGTGGTGCATGTATGGAACAAGCAGACAGAGCAAGTGGTGGAGGTGCGTACAACATTTAAAAGACATCTGGATGGGTACATGAGTAGGAAGGGTTTAGAGGGACATGGGCTAAATGCTGGCAAATGAATGTGAACACAGACTGCTTCAGTATCTGAGGATTCACAAATGGTGCTAAACATTGCACAATCAGCAGCAAACACTCCCACTCTGACTTTATGATGGGGTGGGGGGGTGATGTCATTGATGAAGCAGTAAAGATGGTAGATCCTCATCTACAAGGAGATTAAAATTATCCATGATTAACACACAGCCTTTCCTACACGCCTCATTATCTTGTGATTTATTCTCAGTCACCCACTGTTAGGGTCCCTATAGACTCCACCTAACAGCATCTTGCCTTTTTATTTCTTACCTCTGCCCATATGGATTCAATACCTTTCAATGCAAGATCATTTCTTGCTATAGAACTTATTTCATCCTGTACAATACTATCCCAATACTATCTTCCTGCCTGTCCTTTCAAAAAAAAAATCACATATCACTGAATATTTGATTCGTGGTTCTGATTTCATTGAAGTTGTGAAGAATAAAAGGTGAACACTTTGAAATAGTAGAGGCACCAAGTCCTTGAGTCTTTCATGCGTGGGAACATCTCCCCATCTAGCTCGCTCATAACTTAAAAAACATATTAGATCACCTCTTGGCCGCCTTCTCTCTGCAGAGAACAGTCCCAACCTCTCCAATCTACCCTCAGAAATGAAGTTTCTCATCCATTGAACAATTTCTGTAAGTCTCTTCCACAATTTCTCAAATGCATTCACTTCCTTTCTATATAGTGTGGTGCGCAAAACTTGTAGACAATACTCCAGCTGAGGTCTGATGAGAAGCTTATACAAGTTTAGCATATCTTCCTTGCTCGTGTACTCCGTGCCTATTATTAAAGTCAAAGATACTGTATGCTTTAGTAACTGCTCTTTTCACTCATCCTGCCACCTTCAATGATCTGTGCACATATACACCCAGGTTCCTCTGCTCCTGCAAATCCTCAGAATTGTATCTCATATTTTATATTGTCTGTCCACATTCTTGTTAACAAAATGCAATAACTTACATTTTTCTACATTCAGTTTCATCTGCCAGCTCTCTACCCATTATACTAACCTGTAATAAGTAGAAGGTATTAGATGTTTTAGTGATTATACAGGTACATAAATCCCCAGGACTTGACAAGATGTATCCCAGGCTGCTATGGGAGGCAAGGGAGAAGATTGCTTGGGCTCTGACAGATACATTCAATACTTTGCTGGCCACAGGAGAAGTGCCGGATGACTGGAGGATAGCTGAAGTGGTTCCTTTGTTCAAGAAGGACAGCAGGGATAGACCAGGTAATTACAGATGAGTCAACAGTATAAATTGGTCAGGAACAGGCATAGAGTAGATCATAGAATCTCTTCACCATGGCAGACATAGAATTACAGAATCCCTACAGTGTGGAAGTAGGCCATTCAGCCCATCAAGTCCATACCAACTCTCGGAAGAGCATCCCGCCCAGATCCACCTCCTACCCTAGCCCTGTAATCCTGCGTATCCCATGGCTAATCCACCTAACCTGCACTCCCTGGATACCATGGGCAATTTAGTGTCACCGATCCACCTAACATGCACATCTTTGGAGTGTGGGAGGAAACCTGTGCAGACACAAGGAGAATATGCAAACTCCACACAGTTGCCCAAAGCTGGAATCGAACCTGGGTCCCTAGTGCTGTGAACCACTGAACCACCATGCTGCCCACATGGCTTAGATCATAGGGCAGAAGTTTAAGATGAGAAGTAAATGGTTTAGAAGAGATCTGAGGAATTTTTTTTCACCCAGAGGTGGTAAACATATGGAATATGCTGCATGAGAGGATGGTACAGGAAAGTACTCCAGCAACATTTGAGAAGCAGCTGGATGAATACTTAAAATGCCAGGGCTATGGACCAAATGCAGGTAAACGGGATTAGTGTAGTTTGGGGTTTGTTGGACAGCACAGACATAGTAGGCTGAAGAGCCCTTATTCTCTCTATGACACTATGGTCTATGTCCTTTTGAATTTCTCCACTGTCCGCCTCACATTTTACACCGATTTAAAGGCTGAAATCACCCACAAACTTTGAAATTGTCCCTAGAACATCGAGATCCTGATCATTAACATACATCAAGAAAATCAAGGATCCCAATACCAACCGCTGGGAAACTCCACTACAAACCTTATTCTGGCCCAAAAGTATCTAATGACCATTACTCTGTATGCCATACTCAGCTTTGTATCCACCTTGCTTCTGTACCTCTTATTCCATGAGTTACAACTTCCTTGTGGGGCACTGTATTGAACCTCCTAGTGGTAAATCAAACATCTTTAACAAACCCTTCAAAGTCTATGCACAACTTGCATTGGGATGAATGTATTAATCAGCCTTGAAAATTAATCAAACACGCCAGTGGATTCTCTGTTGATCAATATAAAAGGATTTGAGGATGACACTTTAACTTGTCTAGTAAGCCATATACAGTACAAAAATTAAATCTATTAATAATCTCAAAATCCAAGAAACATTTATAATTCTTTTATTCCACGTGTACACAGAAAATGTTCTCCTGCCACCAGTGCTCTGCTTCTGTTCCATATCCCCTTAAGCTAGCAACACCAAGGTTTGTAACTGGATTCAACAACTCAAATTTCTCCCAGGATTCTAAACACACTCCGAGAATGGGTCAAAGGAGAAAACACCACATATAAACAATAACAAACATGAACCAGAATCTTACAAACAGTACTACTGCTTTTGCCCTGAATATTCTCAAAACACATTCATAAATCTACTCCATAATAAGGAAACTATAAAATATTTGTATCTTCAGACTTTACCTGTTGTGCATATTCTTCACATGTAGGTCCCACAGGTACAACCATAACTTGACGTGGAGACAGCCAGAGAGGCCTGCAAAGTAAAAATTGCAGCATATTTCAGATAATGCCAACAACCTCTCACCATTACTTCAGCGGTCGTTTGTTCCTAGACATCAAAAAAGCTATTCAATAAGGCTGGTGCAAATTGGCTCTCCCACCCTAGAAGAACTCAAACATCTCCTCAAAGCAGTTCAGATAAATAGCAAATATTCAGCACATTGATTACAGTTCTTATTCAGCTGACATAAGACACAGGAGCAGATGTTAGGCCATTCAGCCCATTGAATGCTCCACCATTCAATCACGGCTGGTAAGTTTCTCAACCCCATTCTCCCCATAAACCTTTGGTCCCCTTGATGATCAAGAACCTCTCTCTGTCTGTCTTAAATATTCTCAATGACTTGGCCTCCACAGCCTTCTGTGGCAATGAATTCCATCGATTCACCACTGTCTGGCTGAAGAAGTTTCTCCTCAACTCTGTTCTAAAGAGTCTTCCCTTTACACTAAGGTTGTGCCCTCGGTCCTAGTCTTTCCTGTCAATGGAAACATCTTCCCAATAACCGGTCTGTCCAGGCCGAATCAGTATTCTTTACGTTTCAGTTAGATCCCCCATCATCCTTCGAAACTCCATTGAGTATAAACCCAGAGTCCTCATTTGTTAAGCCTTTCATTCCTGGGATCATTCTCGTGAACCTCCTCTGGTCCCACTCCAGGGCCAGTACATTCCTCCCGAGATATGTTGCTCACAATACTCTAAATGTGGTCTGACCAGCACTTTATAAAGCCCCAGAAGTGCATCCCTGCTTTTATAGTCTAGTCCTCTCAAAATAAGTGCCAACATTATATTTGCCTTCTTAACTACCAACTCAACCTGCAAGTTTATCTTAAGAGAATCCTGGACTAGGACTCCCAAGTCCCTTGCACTTCAGATTTCTGAATTTTCTCCCCAATTAGAAAACAGTCTTTGCCTCTCTTCTTCTCACCAAAGTGCATGACCTCACACTTCCACGTTGTATTCCATCTGCCACTTCTTTGCCCCTCTCCTAACCTGTCTAAATCCTTCTGCAGCCTCCCCAGCTCCTCAATACGACCTCTCCCTCCACCTATCTTTGTATCATCTGCAAACTTAGCCAGAATGCCCTCAGTTCCAGTAGATCATTAACGTATAAAGTGAAAAGTAGTGGTCCCAACACGGACCCTTGCGGAACTCCACTAGTCGCCAGCTGCCATCCTGAGGAAGATCCTTTTAACGCCACTCTCTGCTTTCTGCCAGACAGCCAATCTTCTATCCATGCTAGCACCTTGCTTCTAACACCACGGGCCTTTATCTTACTCAGCAGCCGCCCGTGCGGCACAAAGAACAAAGAAAATTACAGCACAGGAACAGGCCCTTCGGCCCTCCAAGCCTGCGCCGATCCAGATCCTCTATCTAAACCTGTCACCTATCTTCCAAGGATCTGTATCCTTCTGCTCCCTGCCCATTCATGTATCTGTCTAGATACAGCTTAAATGACGCTATCGTGCCCACCTCTACCATCTCCGCTGGCAACTTGTTCCAGGCACCCACCACCCTCTGCGTAAAGAACTTTTCCCCTCTCACCTTGAAATCGTGATCCCTAGTAATTGAGTCCCCCACCCTGGGGAAAAAGCTTCTTGCTATCCACCCTGTCTATACCTCTCATGATTTTGTAGATCTCAATCAGGTCCCTCCTCAACCTCCGTCTTTCTAATGTAAATAATCCTAATCTATTCAACCTCTCTTCATAGCTAGTGCCCCTCCCCCATACCAGGCAACATCCTTGTGAACCTCCTCTGCACCCTCTCCAAAGCATCCACATCCTTTTGGTAATGTGGCACCTTGTCAAAGCCTTCTGGAAGTCCAGGTAGATAACATTCATTGGCCCTCCTTTGTATAACCTTCTCATTACCTCCTCAAAGAATTCGAAGAGATTTGTCAGGCATGGCCTCCCCTTGATGAAACCATACTGACTTTGCCCTATTTTACCATGCACTTCCAAGTATTCAGAAATCTCATCCTTCACAATGGACTCCAAAATCTTACAAATGACTGAGGTCAGGATAATCGACCTGTAATTTCCCGTCTTTTGCCCTACTCCCTTCTTAAACAGGGGGGTTACGTTAGCAATCTTCCAGTCCTCTGGGAGCCTTTCTGACTCCAGTGATTCTTGGAAGATCAGCCCTAACACCTCCACTATCTTTTCAGCTATCTCCTTCAGAACTCTAGGGTGTGGTCCATCAGGTCCAGGGCATTTATCCATCTTCAGACCTATCAGTTTTTCTAGCACCCTCTGGAGGGTGATAGCCACCATACACACATCTGCCCCCCGACTCTTGAATTTTTGGGACATTACTCATGTCTTCCATTGTGAAGACTGACGTACTTATTCAGTTCCTCAGCCATTCCTTTGTTTCCCATTACTACTTCTTCAGCGTCATTTTCCAGCAGACCAATGCCCACTTTTGCCTCTTTTGCCCTTTACATATCTAAAGTTCACTCTGATCATCCAATGTTAAGTTTTTATTCCCCAATGGCAGATCAGTACCACACAGATACTCTCAAACTGGTAGCTTTTCAACATAATGTTGAAAATGGTGAAGCAGACAAGCGTTTGTCTAACACTTATTTCGGAAGTTATTACATGTTAGCAATAATTATACAATCCACTAATCTCAAAAAAATCTTAAATGAAACATACAAGAATTGAGTTTTTCATTACCATTTGCCACCATAGTTTTCAGTCAAAATTGCAATCATTCGTTCCACAGAGCCTAGGATTGCCCGATGAATAATAACAGGCCTATTCTGGTCAACACCATCATGACTGTGAAATAAAGTGAAACCATTTCAGCATCTCTTGTATTTAACATGAATGTTAAAGTTTTCTTTAATAACGGGGGAAATAATTAGATTTATAATACTGGCTGTACATCAAGACGAGCAATTGATTCATGATCGACTGCTAAATTTTAATGGCAGTAATAACAGAGAATAAGTGTTGAGATTATAAATCATTAGACACTGGAGTAGAATTAGGCTGTTAGGCCCATAGAATCTGCTCTGCCATTCAATCGCTGTTGAAATGAATCTCAACCTCACTCTTCTGCCTTCTCCCTGTAATCTATGATCCCCTTACTATCTCTGTCTTAAAGATACTTTGGATCAACTGGGCCAATGGGCTGAGGACTGGCAGATGGAGTGTAATTTGGATAAATGCAATGTATTGCATTTTGGTAAAAGCAAACAAAGGCAGGACTAACACAGCTAATGAAAAGCCCTGGATAGCGTTATCGAACAGAGACATGTAGGGGTTCAGGTACATAGTTGTTTGAAAGTTGCATCGCAGGCAGATAGGGTGGTGAAGGCAGCATCTAACACTCGTGCTTTTGTTGCTTAGACCACCGAGCACGGGAGCTGCAACATCATGTTCAGGTTGTACAGGATGTTGGTGAGGCCACTTTTGTGTACAGTTCTGCTCACCCCGCTATAGGATGAATATTATTGGAAAGGATTCAGAAAAGATTTACCAAGATGTTGCCAGGGCTGGAGGGTTTGAGTTATAAGGGGAAGCTGAATAGGCTGGCACTTTTTCTTAGGAGCGCAGCAGGTAGAGGGGTGACCTTATTGAGGTTTATAAAATCATGAGGAACATGGATCAGGTGAATAGTGAAGGTCTTATTCCTAGCATGGGTGAGTTCAAAACTAGGGGGCACATTTTTAAGGTAAGTGGAGAAAGATTTAAAACAGACCTGAGGGGCAACTTTTTCACACAGAGGGTGGTTCGTGTGCGGAAAGAACTGCCAGAGGACGCGGTAGATGCAGATACAGTTATAACATTCAAAACACATTTGGATAGGTATATGAACAGGAAAGGTTTTGAAGGGTATGGGCAAAACACAGGCAAGTGGAACCAGTTTAGTTTGGGAGACTTTGTCAGCATGGACGGGTTGGACCGAAGAGTCTGTTTCTGTGCCGTGTGACTCTATGACAGTCAATGACTTGGCCTCCACAGCCTTCTAAGACAATGAGTTCCACAGATTAACTACCTTCTGGCTGAAGAAATTCGTCCTCATCTCAATTCTAAAGCATCATCCCTTCATTCGGAGGCTGTGCCCCCCGACTCTTGTATTCTAACCCCCTCGAAATTAATTCAAACAATTCATTTGCCTCCTAACTACCAAGTGAACCTGTTAGCCTTAACAGATTCCTGAACTAGGATTCCCAAGTCCCTTCGGGCTTCAGATTTCTGAAGCCTTTCCCCATTTCGAAAATAGTCTACGTCTCTGTTCTTCCAAACCAAAGTGCTTAACCTCACACTTTCCCACATTATATCCCATCTGCCACTTCTTTTCCCATTCTCCTATCCTGTCCAAATCCTTCTGCAGACTCTCCACCTCCTCAACAGCACATATCCCTCCACCTATCTTTGTGTCAGCAGCAAACATAGCAACAATACCCTCAGTTCCTTTATCCAGCACAATTATAGCACTAATACTATCAAACTGAATTGTTCATTATTGAAATCATTTAATCAACATAAGTTTTATTTCCTGAGACTGCACAAGAATGATAGTAAAATGTAAAGTATGCAGGGTATTTTGATCTTAGAGTAGGTTAATAAGTCGGCACAACATCGTCGGCCGAAGGGCCTGTACTGTGCTCTACTGTTCTATGTTGCTCTACATAAGAAATTTACTCTTTATATGGGCAAAGAATACCAAATTTGATTTTAATCACATACAAGACAGCTCAAAAATGAACATATTTCCTATTTAAAGTGCTCTTCATTTTAGGAGGCTTACCTCACATAGGTCAAGTTAAATCTGACAGGCAACTGGAAATCCAACTGAATTGTAGCACATTGATGATATCTACCAATAGCATCTTTGATTTTTATGTCAATCTGGAATAATTTTTTAAAAAAGCATTAGAAAATTTATTGTTTGTAATAGTGAGTGTTTTTGATATTATTATACTATTTTATGTTACCTTGGGCCCATAAAAAGCACCATCACCAGGATTCAAACTCCACTTCTCACCAAACTCATTGAGGCTATTTTCAAGTTGCTGAAAGAAAAAGGGACTGACAGTTTGATTAAAAAAGTACTCAAAAAAAAAATTAGCATTAAACAGCATCTAAATGTGCAAGATAGAATTATTGACCTTCTCAGCTACGTTCCAGACTTCAACATCACCAAGAAACTTCTCTGGGCGAGTGGAAAGTTCAAGTTTAAAAGTAAATCCAAAGACATTGTAGACAGCACGCAGGAAGTCCAGGCAACCTTTAATTTCTGCTTCAATCTTGGAAAAACACAACACAACACATTTGAAAAAATACCTTCCAGTTTCCTCCATCCCTAAAATTCTCTAGAATATACCAGAGCTTATAGTATATAGAAGTTGTATACCATGTTTCCCATGGCTACAAAATTAAACTAATCATTGGTGTCTGAATAATGGGAGTGTGAGATAAGATACTCCATACTGGATTACAAACACAATTAATTTCAATAAGTGCTTCTGCAAAAAGCGACTCAACCATTTCAAGATGTGGGAGCAGACAATCCTCAAGACACACAAGGTTAGTCATTTTATCAATTAGCTTGCCTTTCTTAATGCTTATTTGAAATGAATAACATACTCAAACTAAGTTTGAGAAGTCTATAAACTAAAAACTAGAAACTAAGAAGTCTATAAACAGATTTTTTTTTTTTTTTTTTTTTTTTTTAACATTGTGTCACCTTCACACCATACAGAGTCAGAGTTACACAGCATGGATACAGATCCTTTGATCCAACTTGTCCATTCCAATCAGATATCCTAAACTGACCTAATCTTATTTGCCAGCATTTGACCCATATCCCTCTAAACCCTTCTTATTCAGGTACCTATCCAGATGCCTTTTAAATATTGTAATTGTACCCACCTTCGCTGCTTCCTCTGGCAACTCATTCCATACAAGCACCACCCTCTGCGTGAAAAAGTTGCCCCTCAGCCATCGGTGAGGTGCCAGAAGACTGGAGAGGTTGGCTGATGTGGTGCCATTACTATACCCCCCACCCCCAATACTTTAAAGCCTCCACCAGGGTACTGATCCCCTCCCAATTCAGGTTCAACCCGTCCTTCTTTTACAGGTCACTTATATGGGTCAGCCCAAAAAGATCCCAATTATCCAAAAATGCGAATCCCTGTCCCCTGCACCAGCTCCTCAGCCACACATTCATCTGCTCTATCCTACTATTTCAACTCACTAGCACTTGGCAGCAGGAACAATCCAGATATTACTACCCTTGAGGACCTACTTTTTAACCTCCTGCCTAATCTCCTATATTCTCTCCGCAAACTTCGTCCCTGTCTCTTCCTATATAACAGTACCAACATGCCCAACGACTTTCTGCTGGTCACTCTCCCATTTGAGAATATTCTGCATCCTTTCCAAGACATCTTTGACCTTGACACCAGGCAGGCAACACACCATTCTGATGTCTCACTGTTGGCCGCAGACATGTCTGTCTATGGTCCTGACTACAAGTCCCCTATCGATCGATCTTTTGGAACCTGACATACTGCTCATTCCAGTAGAGCCAGTCTCGATAGCAGAAACCTGGTTGTCAGTGCTATATTCCCCGAGAGGCCATCACCCCCTACATTATCTAAAACAGCATACTTGTTTGAGATGGGGATAGCCAACAGGAGACTCCACCCATCTACCTGACTGTCTCAAGGTGTAGAGCTGGATGAACACAGCAGGCCAAGCAGCAGAGGAGCAGGAAAGCTGAGGTTTTGGGCCTAGACCCTTCTTCAGAGGCTCTGAAGAAGGGTCTAGGCCCGAAACGTCAGGTTTCCTGCTCCTCTGATGCTGCTTGGCCTGCCGTGTTCAACCAGTTCTACACCTTGTTATCTCAGATTCTCCAGCATCTGCAGTTCCTACTATACTGGACTGTATCTGCGGTTTTTCTACCTTCCCAAAACTGCCATACATCACACCTCCGGCTCCTGTAAGTTCCACATTGCCTCTAACTGCCAATCCAACCAATCCATGCAATCCAATGGAATTTGCATCCAAACAGACTTCCTCAGACATAATTTCCAGAAACAGTGAAATTCTCCCTAATCTCATACATCCGACAGGAAGAACACATTACACTGCTGGAAGCCAACTTTGCACCTTAATCTACAGACCCAGAATCTAGCCCAAAAACAATCACAACAGACTTTTTCAAAAATTGAGCATATTTTCTTTCCACCTTCCAGCTCATCAAATTCCTAGTTTCCCCATATGGAGAGGTCTGTGTACCCCTTCCACCTAGGAAGAACACAAGCAACAGTTTGTCATCTGGTAGGTGGTTCTTTCTTACTCATCGATACCATCTTACTTTTCCATTCTCCTTTAATGCTCCAAATACATGGTGTGTCAGATATTTTGTCTTGAGTTTCAAGCAAGTGAATGAAATAGGGGCAAATTATTGCAGATGCTGGAATCTGTACTGAAAACAAAAAAATTGCTGAAGATCTCAGCAGGTTAGGCAGCATCCATGGAGAGAAAGCAAGCTAACGTTTTTGAGTCTAGATGACTATTTATCAGAGCTCTCCATGGATGCTACCTGACTCGCTGTGATCTCCAGCATCGTTTGCTTTCAAATGAATGAAATACTTGGCTCTTCTCCCCAATGCTTCCTTCTGAAAATCTTGGTGTAATCAAACTACTTGTTCTTGATTTTATAAAATCATTTTGCTGTCAATCTTCTTGGCATTTCACACAACTGACTTTAAACCAGGTTATTAAAATGAAAAACAATTCATCAAGAGTGATCAGAACCATAATGCAATCAATTCAACAACGGGTGAGTAAGAGAACAACCCACAGGAAGAGGTGGTAGTTGTCCAGCGATTTTACAAGATTATTAATCCAAAGGCCCAGGTAATGTTCTGGGGACCCAATTTCAAATCCAACCATGGCAGATTAATTTAAATTCAATGAAAATCTGGAATTAAGAGTCTGTCGATGGCCATGAAGACCATTGCTCTTTGTTGGAAAAGAAATGTCTGGTTCACTATGTCCTTTCAGGAAGGAAACTGCCAACTTTACCTAGTCTAGCCTACCTGTGATTCCAGACTCTCAGCAATGTGGCTGACTCTTAAATGCCCTCTAAAATGGCCTAACACACTACTCAATTGTAACAATTGCTCAGAAGATGCAAAAAAGAAAAATAAAATAAAGGAAATTGGATGGACCACCTGGCATTTACCTAGTCACCAGGAATGACTAAAACAGCCCTGTTGACCCTGCAAAGTCTTCCTTGCTGACATCCAGGGGCTAGACTGGGAGAGCCATCTCACAGACACATCAAGCTATTGCCTGACATGGCCTTGCTACAGAATCATACTTTAGTGTCCCACACACCATCATCACTGTATATGACCTATCCCGCTAACAGTGCAAACCCAAAGGTGGCAAAGTATACAGTAAGGAGGGAGTTGCCCTGAGGAGTTCTCAATATTAACTTCAGATACCATGAAGTCTCATAGCACCAGGTCAACATGGTAAAGGAAGCCCCCCGCTGATTATCATGTACAGTCCTCCCTCGGCTGATCGATCAATGCTCCTCTGTGTTGAACACCACTTGGACGAAGCACCGAGGGTAGAAGGGGTGCAGAACGCAAACATATTGGGGGATTTCAACGTCCACCAACAAGAGTGACCCAGCAGCCACTGAACAAGCTGGTCAGGACTTGGCTGCTAGACTGCGTCTGCAGCAGGAAGGGAGGGAAAAACAGGCTTGACCCCTATCATCAAACATTGCCCTGCTGCAGATGCATTTGTCCACGATAGTACAATAAGAGTGATCATTGCACAGTCCTTTGAAGGCAAAGTCCAACCTTCACATAAGAGAATACCCTGACACTGTATTGTGTGGCAATATCATTGTGCTAGATGGGACGGACTTCAAACAGAACAAGCAACTCAAGACTGGGCAACTATTAGGTGCTATGTGCCATAGACAGCAGTAAAATCATACTCCAGCACAAACTGCAACCTCATAGCCCAGCACATCCCTCGCTCTATTATTACCATTAAACAAGAGGATTAATAAAACTGAAAGAACTGTGGATGCTGTAAATCAGGAACAAAAACAAAGTTGCTGGAAAAGCTCAGCAGGTCTGGCAGCATCTGTGAAGAAAAAAAAAATCAGAGTTAACATTTTGGGACTGGTGTCCCTTCCTCAAAATAGAGTTAACTCTTATCAACGTTAACTCTTATCAACGTTAACTCTTATCAA